TTGGTCCCCCCTTTGCTGCTATAACAGCCTCCACTCTTCTGGGAAGGCTTTCCACTAGATGTTGGAACATTGCTGCAGTGACTTGCTTCCATTCAGCCACAAGAGCATTAGTGAGGTCGGGCACTGATGTTGGGCGATTAGGCCTGGCTCGCAGTCGGCATTCCAATTCTTCCCAAAGGTGTTCGATGGGGTTGAGGTCAGGGCTCTGTGCAGGCCATTCAAGTTCTTCCACACCGATCTCGACAAACCATTTCTGTATGGACCTCACTTTGTGCACGGGGGCATTGTCATGCTGAAACAGGAAAGGGCCTTCCCCAAACTGTTGCCACAAAGTTGGAAGGACAGAATCATCTAGAATGTCATTGTATGCTGTAGCGTTAATATTTCCCTTCACTGGAACTAAGGGCCCTAGCCCAAACCATGAAAAACAGCCCCAGACCATTATTCCTCCTCCACCAAACTTTACAGTTGGCACTATGCATTCAGGCAGATCGCGTTCTCCTGGCATCCGCCAAACCCAGATTCGTCCGTCGGACTGCCAGATGGTGAAGCATGATTCATCACTCCAGAGAACGCATTTCCACTGCTCCAGAGTCCGAAGGCGGCAAGCTTTACACCACACCAGCCGACACTTGGCATTGCGTATGGTGATCCTAGGCTTGCGTGCGGCTGCTCGGCCATGGAAACCCTTTTCATGAAGCTCCCGACGAACAGTTCTTGTGCTGACGTTGCTTCTAGAGGCAGTTTGGAACTCGGTAGTGAGTGTTGCAACAGAGGACAGACGATTTTTACGCGCTACGCGTTTCAGCACTCGGCGGTCCCGTTCTGTGAGCTTGTGTGGCTTACCACTTCGCGGCTGAGCCGTTGTTGCTTCTACACGTTTCCACTTCACAATTACAGCACTTACAGTTGACCGAGGCAGCTCTAGCAGGGCAGACATTTGACGGATTGACTTGGAAAGGTGGCATTCTATGACGGTGCCACATTGAAAGATACTGAGCTCTTCAGTAAGGCCATTCTACTGCCAATGTTTGTCTATGGAGATTGCATGTCTGTGTACTCGATTTTATATACCTGTCAGCAACGGGTGTGGCTGAAATAGCTGAATCCACTACTTTGAAGGGGTGTCCACATACACAAAATATACAAAAGTATTTTAGCCGACCCCCTGCAGTACCTCCACAGACCCCCGGTTGAGTACCCCTGGTCTAGAGGAATACAAAAACATTGACCCAATGGGAGGAGATTCTATTTAACCAAACCAGTCATTTTCGTTACCACACTTTCTTTGTCTCAATACATTTTGCCAGGTCATCAACTTTTCATGTCAATATTAGTCATGGCCACGCCAAAAGGGTTCTACACATTCTACGCAAACAGACCTCCGTCGGCTCCGTAGACTCCTCAAGAAAGCCAAGATAACATTGAAAAGCATCAAATATAGCCTAAAATATAGAAATTAATCATTCTTCTGGTAGTTTTTGACTCCAAACCCCACTTACTGTGTATAGTCAGCATATAGCTCAAAGCCATGCACTTCTCATTCACCAAAATGTAAACATTATCTAGGCTGCGTCCTATAGCTCCCTGTTCCCTATGTAGTGCACTTCTTTTGACCAGAGCTCTATGGGCTCATAGAAGAGAGTGTTGGGTGTAATGTCTGTGTGATACAATAAACAAGGAGTGAGGTAGCGGTGTCCTTTAGAGATTAGCTGGCTCCTGTGAGGAAAATTACGGCTTTGGGAGAAAGTCATTAAGACCATAATATATATATATATTTTTTTAGTAAATAAACTCGGCATGAATGCTGTTAGATTTTCCTAAAAGTGATTAATTGCTGGGGAAATACCTTTACACTTTAAATAGTGAACATAAAAACAATAACTTGGACATCTACATTCTGTCCCTGGCTTTGTCTATAATTTAAAATAATTTAAACAGCACAGGGGGAAAATGCAATCTCTAACGAGCATGAATTACCTTTGTTTATAGTGAAATTAATGTTGGAGCATAAAAGCCATTTTACTGCTTTGATTCATCTGTGGAGTGCAGACCAATTAAAACTTGGCACATAAGATTACTCACTGGGAATTTAGCATTCATAAAACCACACTTCTGGTTTCACATCCTAGTCAACAGTTCACTTTTAGTTCACAGCCCTTTTGAATCCCCTTGTACCCTGCAACTCTCACTTGGAGTCACGGAGCTATTCACCAAGTACTGATCTGTGCAAACTGTGGTTGTGTCTAACCAATATAAAGTATAAAAAAAATATGCTTTCGGATAGTGTCTGTGGCTACAAAAAAAAGAGACGTCACAAAGCATCAAAACATCTTAAAGTTGTGGATAGGAATGAAATGTGAGCGAGTATTTCAAATTGCAATGTCTTTCACCCCCCATGGTGGCACCATGTGTCCATTCAAAATCATTATGTTATGGGAAGATGAGTGCAATCATGCATTCCTAAAGTACACAATTTGTTGTGGATGGCGGCAGCCCTGCACACATCCAATACTTTTATCAAGGCTTCCGTTGGCGGAGCACAAGCTTCGATTTCTGCTCCATTATCATAAAGAAGTCAATACAGCATAAGAGGCTGGTTGACAGCGCTTCAGACAACAAGATCAATCAGCCTCTATAGCTAGGAACTGTCTACAGCCTATTCATCTCAGCAGCCTAGGCAGGTTGTAACACTAATGTCATGCAGCAGACACATGAAATCTAAGGCAATAGAAAAAAAATGGAGAAATCAAATTGACTCGGAGGAAATCAATCTGTTTCTGTCCAATGTTATTACAATGTGTATGGCGATATAGGCTAATTAAGAAAACGACAAACACAGCTCTGTGAATAGGTAAGCAGTTCCCACAGAGACAGACACACAGTGCCACCCCACGGAGCCAAATTGTTATTCACTCCATACCGCCAAGTGTTAACATAAAAGGTAGGAAACTCCTGACTGTGCTCTGCTGTACAGCAGCACTGCTCCGCATAGAAACACACTACCACTGCACCTCTTCATCACACACCCACACATACAAAAGTTTCCATTTCCCTACCTGTAGCCCTCGTCTCCTCAGAATGCTGGACTCGTCCATGCTACAGAGATCCGGCTTCTCACGCCTCCCTATCGGCACATAGCCATGCTGCACTGACTGACTGGCTGCCTAATGCTGGCTCTCTCGCTCGCTCTCGCTTTTTCTTGCTCTCTCTCCCGCTCACTCCCTCCCTCGCACTAAATCTGATCTTAGCAGCTGCTAAACACTTACATCAGAACTTATCTGATTGGAGGGGGGCAGTCAGCTGACACCTCCCTCTTGTTCCTCTCCTCGCCCCTCTGGAACTTCAGGACAGTGTGTATGTGTGAGACAGAGAGAGTGTGTTTGAATGTGAATGAGTGTGTGAGAGAGAGAGGGAGAGAGAGTGTATGTGAATGTGAGTTAGTATTTGAAAGGGAGGGAGAGAGAGGGCATGAGGGAGGCAGTTCTAATTCAGCATAGGGACTGAGGGGTGACTGGGGGCCCTAGTCCTTTCCCCCGAGCGGAGCAGCCACGCTTTTGTGGCGCCCTAGGTGACCATGAAACGCAGAGGAGGATATCCTGCCCCAAATTTTCCTCCTCCTCTCCATTCAAACAAAACAGCTGAAATCCTGTCCTGACCGCCTGTCCATCTGCAAAGAGCAGCCAGGGCTAACCGCTAACTGGCCTCTGCTGTTCAATGGTTTTTAAATGAGTAATTATTCCTATGTTCTTTCTCTCCTGGGCCAAAGCTATGGGGCGCGTCTGAAGGTCAGACTGTCCAGAGGACAGACACTGCAGCTGAGAGCAAGGGAGAGGCCAGGGGTGATAGTGAGGGAGGGAGGGAAAGAGAAATGTAAAAAATAGATTTACAATAATAGTGGTGGGGCACTGCTGCTACAGCTGACTATGGGGGCCTTTACTTTCCTTCCATAGAAACAATAGTGCTTCTTATTACTGCGCTGCTTTCAAAAACAACTCCACTGCCTCACTCAATTCCTCTACAACCAGCTGTATGCAGCACATAGTGTCTTCAGAAAGTATTGACTTGACTTATTCCACATTTTGCTGTGTTACAGCCTGAATTAAAAATTGATTAAATCAAATGTTTTTTCTGACATGTACTATCATTTGTGGGACCTTATATAGACAGGTATTTTTTTCTTCGAAATCATGTCCAAACAATTGAATTAGCCACAGGTGTACAAGTTTTAGTGACATCTCAAGGATGATGAAAGGAAATTGGATGCACCTGAGCTCAATTTGGAGAGTCATAGCAAAGGGGTGTGAATACTTATGTAAATTATATATTTCTGTATTTTATTTTCAATAAATTTGTAAAAATGTCTAAAACATGTTTTCACTTTATCATAATGGGGTATTATGTATAGATGGGTGAGATCATTTTTTTAAAAATCCATTTTGAATTCAGGCTGTAACAAAATCTGGAATAAGTCAAGGGGTATGAATACTTTCTGAAGGCACTGTAACTGCATATCCACTGTCAATTTCCACTCATTTTATGCATTGCCGTTTTTTCTTTCCTGGCTGTCTCTATTACAAGTTATATCAACTCCTCGCTATAGGCCGAGTTCCCAGGCACTCAGCAAGTGACCAACCGAGGCGCTTCTCCAATGCTACACTCCGCCACAGACGCAACTCCACAGTCGCCCCATTCTGAATGATTAGCATTTAGAGAAATAAGTAGGTTTACGATTGCCATCACGCCAATTCCATCCGGCAATTTCACAGTCCGTTTCAGTCCTGTGTTTTTCCTTTTGCTTCTCCCCCTCTCTCTCTGTCTATCGCTCATTTCCATTTGCTGTGACTCTACTCTGAATATTAAGTGTCGCCCCATCCATTCTCACCGTCTTCCGCCAAACTCAAATGATTTCTGTTATCGAGCATGGACAAGTGACGGCTAGTCAGCTACCTATGGCTGAGGAGAGAAAAAAAAACTGTGCGGAAGGTCAAACAGGTGACCGCCATGTAAACTTTCCCCTTTTCTGTCCATCTGTAGAACAGAGCAGCGTTTGACTGCAGCTGGATGGCCAGTAATTTGTGTTGGCCCTGATAAGGGGAACAAGAGAACAGAGGGCAGCCAGTGCTAAAGTAATAGGGCCTGTTTTTTATATTAATTCTTAAACCTTTCAAACCTCAATAGAAGGTGGATTAGCGCCATCAACTTTCTGGCTCTGAACAATGCCCCACAGATTACCTGTGGGAATTAAAACATTGCGTTATATCCGAGTGACTAGTTCCAATTCACTGCTCCCAGTCTGCCGCTGCTTAGAGGGGACAACTAAGGAAATTCCATTTAAAAGTCAGAATGAGGAGCTGGGAAAAACCTATCTGAACGGTCATTAGTCTTATTCAATGCGAGGGACGCTCCCCGCAGTGCAAAGTGAAAGCAAATACTGTAGGCTCTACGGCCATGCAAACATGTAGCATTCAAGGAACAATCTCCACAACAATACCCTGAGCTCATGCAAGAGATTCAAATGCAATTGTCTGGAAATGACTTAAATTGACAAAAGGCTACAGCAGCAGCGACAACTCACTTCCCGGCAATGGACTCAGGAAACCCATTTAATGTAGCCGACTCAACCTTTACTGGTATCCGGTTTTCAACAACCTCTTATAGGACAAGCATTGTTGGTAGGACAAGCCTTGCAAGCCCACTGGGTCTGGCAAGCCTTGCAAGCCCACTGGGTCTGGCTCTGGGCGGAAGGGGCCCTTGGCCGCAGGCTGGCCTCTAAAGGAAGTCCCAGGGGGTTTGTGTGTCTCATTTCCTCCCGGCAGGTGGGCAGCTAAGGCCGTTTCCTGCAGCGAGCGGCAAGGAGGATAGGACGTAGGAGTGTGGAGCAGTGAGAGGAGAAGAGAGAGGGGTTTTGGTGGGAGTTAGCCCTGAGAGCCTGCAGTTAGAGCTGATTGAGTGACCCAAGGCCCCTGCTACTCCTCTGCCCTGCCTGGGCTTATCGGAGCGAGAGGACGCCTGCCGATCTAAGGCAGGAGGAGGAGGGCCATGGCATGTGGAGGGGGAGAAAGAGGGAGATTGAGACAGAGATGGAGAGAGAGAGAAAGATAAAGAGAGAGGGGGGAGAAAGAGAGGGGAAGAGGGGAAAGAATGACTAATACAGACCCTTTACAGTGAAAGCTAAGTCTGACATTATATTGGCCAGTCCTTTGGAGTGAGAGCATATCTGACCTTATAACCCTATACAGTCAATCCCTCAGTGGGAAAGAAAAGCAGACTTGATCACCTTAAAAGAACCAATCCCTCACAGTGGAGTCCAATATGAAAGATGCAATGTGGTGCAAGAAAGTGAAATGCACTCGCACACATCTTCAGTAGAGGTTGCATTGCAGGTGCGTCTGAGATGTTCAACAATTGTTAAAATGAAATGAAACTCCCACACACTGCGCTTGGAAAAGTTTTTTTATTGTTGACCTTCCTCAAGAGCATTGAAAGGCCAAGGCGTTAGCACAATAAACATGTTACTACTCATTTTAACAATGTGGTGCACGAACATTCACACAAAGCAACTCAAGGTTGCAATAAATCCGACAACCTTTTTTTTTTTTTTTTTTTCTGTATTACGCTTTCTGTATAAAAGTATGTAGATTGGTGTTAGAAGTGGGTTTCAGTACATTGTGTTATAGAACTATATCTTTGATAAATGTATATGCACATATGATTCTGCCAGGGATTACTACAGGAGTCACGTACAGACTGTGTTCTTTCACGAATGGATACACAGTGTCACATTTTGGCTTAATATTATATTAGAATCCCTAAACAGAGAATCAGTGCATTCGGAAAGTATTCAAATCCCTTGACTTTTTCCACATTGTTAAGTTACAGCCTTATTCTGAAATGGTTTTCCTCAACAATCTACACACAATAGCCCATAATGACAAAGCGAAAACAGGTTTAGAATTGCAAATGTATTACAAATAAACAAAAATACCTTATTTACATAAGTATTCAGACCCTTTGCTATGAGAATCAAAATTGAGCTCAGGTGATCCTGTTTCCATTGATCATCCTTGAGATGTGCTTACAACTTGATTGGAGTCCACCTGTGGTAAATTCAATTGATTGGACATGATTTGGAAAGGCACACACCTGTCTATATAAGGTCCCACAGTTGACAGTGCACGTCAGAGCAAAAACCAAGCCATGAGGTCGAGGGAATTGTCCGTAGAGCTCCGAGACAGGATTGTGTCGAGGCACAGATCTGGGCAAGGGTACCAAAAAATGTCTGCAGCATTGAAGGTCCCCAAGAACACAGTGGCCTCCATCATTCTTAAATGGAAGAGTTTGGAACCACCAATACTCTTCCTAGATCTGGCGGCCCGGCCAAACTGAGAAATTGGGAGAGAAAGTCCTTAGTCAGGGAGGTGACCAAGAACCCGATGGTCACTGACAGAGCTCCAGAGTTCCTCTGTGGAGATGGGAGAACCTTTCAGAAGGACAACCATCTCTGCAGTACTCCACCAATCAGGCCTGTATGGTAGTGGCCAGAAGGAAGCCACTCATCAGTAAAAGACACATGACAGCCCGCTTGGAGTTTGCCAAAAGGCACCTAAAGGACTCTCAGACCATGAGAAACAAGATTCTCTGTTCTGATGAAACCAAGATTGAACTCTTTGGGCCTGAATGCCAAGCGTCACATCTGGAGGAAACCTGGCACCATCCCTACGGTGAAGCATTGTAGTATCATGCTGTGGGGATGTTTTTCAGCTGCAGGGACTGGGAGACTAGTCAAGATCGAGGGAAAGATGAACGGAGAAAAGTACAGAGAGATCCTTGATGAAAACCTGCCCAGAGCGCTCAGCACCTCAGACAGGGGTGAAGGTTCACCTTCCAACAGGACAACGACCCTAAGCACACAACCAGGACAACCCAGGAGTGAGTGGCTTCGGGACAAGTCTCTGAATGTCCTTCAGTGGCCCAGCCAGAGCCCGGACTAGAACCCGATCAAACATCTCTGGAGAGACCTGAAAATAGCTGTGCAGCGACGCTCCCCATCCAACCTGACAGAGCTTGAGAGGATCTGCAGAGAAGAATGGGAGAAACTCTTCAAATACAGGTGTGCCAAGCTTGTAGCGTCATACTCAAAAAGACTCGCGGCTGTAATTGCTGCCAAAGGTGCTTCAACCAAGTACTGAGTAAAGAGTCTGAATACTTATGTGTTTTTGTTTTGTTCTTAATAAATTAGCAAACTATTCTAAAAACCTATTTTGCTTTGTCATTATGGGGTATTGTGTGTAAATTGATTAGGGAAAAAAACAATTTAAATCCATTTTAGAATAAGGCTGTAACTTAACAAAATGTGGAAAAAGTCAAGGGGTCTGAATACTTTCCAAATGCACTGTATTATGCCCAGCAGATTGGTTTGACAGGGGTCTGACCTCTCAACAGCAGCCACTTCATCGAAAGTGACAGTTTTTATTTACATCCTGCCTCTGTGCATGTGTGTACAGCCGTGGTGAAAGGTTTTGGGAATGACAAGTATTGGTCTTCACAAAGTTCGCTGCTTCAGTGTTATATTTTTGTCAGATGTTACTATGGTATACTGAAGTATAATTACAAGCATTCCATAAGTGTCAAAGGCTTTTATTGACAATTACATTAAGTTTATGCAGAGTCAATATTTGCAGTGTTGACCCATCTTTTTCAAGACCTCTGCAATCTGCCCTGGCATGCTGTCAATTAACTTCTGGGCCACATCCTGACTGATGGCAGCCCATTCTTGCATAATCAATGCTTGGAGTTTGTCAGAATTTGTGGGTTTTTGTTTGTCCACCTGCCTCTTGTGGATCGACCACAAGTTCTCAATGGGATTAAGGTCTGGGGAGTTTCCTGGCCATGGACCCAGAATTTCGATGTTTTGTTCACCGAGCCACTTAGTTATCACTTTTGCCTTATGGCAAGGTGCTCCATCATGCTGGAAAAGGCATTGGTCGTCACCAAACTGTTCTTGGATGGTTGGGAGAAGTTGCTCTCGGAGGATGTGTTGGTACAATTCTTTATTCATGGCTGTGTTCTTAGGCAAAATTGTGAGTGAGCCCACTCCCTTGGCTGAGAATTAACCCCACACATGAATGGTCTCAGGATGCTTTACTGTTGGCATGACACAGGACTAATCGTAGCGCTCACCTTGTCTTCTCCGGACAAGGTGTTTTCCGGATGCCCCAAATAATCGGAAAGGGGATTCAGAGAAAATGACTTTACCCCAGTCCTCAGCAGTCCCATCCCTGTACCTTTTGCAGAATATCAGTCTGTCCCTGATGTTTTTCCTGGAGAGAAGTGGCTTCTTTGCTGCCCTTCTTGACACCAGGCCATCCTCCAAATGTCTTCGCCTCACTGTGCGTGCAGATGCACTCGCACCTGTCTGCTGCCATTCCCGAGCAAGCTCTGCACTGGTGGTGCCCCGATCCCGCAGCTGAATCAACTTTAGGAGACGGTCCTGGCGCTTGCTGGACTTTCTTGGGCGCACTGACGCCTTCTTCACAACAATTGAACCTCTCTCCTTTAAGTTCTTGATGATCCGATAAATGGTTGATTTAGGTGCAATCTTACTAGCAGCAATATCCTTGCCTGTGAAGCCCTTTTTGTGCAAAGCAATGATGACGGCACGTGTTTCCTTGCAGGTAACCATGGTTAACAGAGGAAGAACAATGATTTCAAGCACCACCCTCCTTTTAAAGCTTCCAGTCTGTTATTCTAACTCAATCAGCATGACAGAGTGATCTCCAGCCTTGTCCTCGTCAACACTCTCACCTGTGTTAACAAGAGAATCACTGACATGATGGCATCTGGTCCTTTTGTGGCAGGGCTGAAATGCATTGGAAAAGTTTTTTTGGGGATTAAGTTCATTTTCATGGCAAAGAGGGACTTTGCAATTCATCTGATCACTCGTCATGACATTCTGGAGTATATGCAAATTGCCATCATCAAAACTGAGGCAGCAGACTTTGTGAAAATTAGTATTTGTGTCATTCTCAAAACTTTTGACCACGAATGTACACACAGTAACATGTCACATAATTGTAATGTACTGTATCTAAGATTACTGGACATGTGAGGTCATTGGCTTGATACGACCTTGGAAGGTGATCTTGAGAATGGGACTGAAATGACATGCTAGGGTTTGTATATATACAAGCATTCATTTCAAAAACATTCAGTAGCTGTGTTCAACTTGAATACAAGCATACAGGTGCATACAGTGCTTATGTTAACTTACAAAAATAATGGAATAATAAAAACATGCTAGTCCTTTGCTTCTTCACATTGGCATTAGTCCTCGCTTTCTGGCTAAAAGTAAGTACAGTTGGTGTCAGAAGTGGGATCCAGTATAAAAGCAATCACATACACAAATACTGTAAACCAGGGTTCCCAAACTGGCGGCATTGCGGGACGAATTTGGCCCGCGGGTGATTTTATTTGGCCCTCAACGTTTTCTGAGCAACAACGTTGGACATAAGACTGGAAAAACACCAGCAAATCAGCACTAAGTGATTTCAATTTTGGAAATCTGTTCCAAAGTATCCCCACGCATAGAGAGATACTGTATATGTGATCGTATACAAATGTAAGCAAGGTTTGAAATGATGTTTTAGTCAAATATATCTGTTGTTTGGGGAGTCTACAAAATATTTGTATTTACGTTTGAGTCCCCTGACCATCCACTCAAGAAAAAAAAAATTGTCCCATGGCTGAATCTAGTTGATGATCCCTGCTGTAAACAAAGCACACCTTGGACTCTGTGTCCAATATAACTAATCTCAGCTCTGACATCACCTCTGCAGACCCAATGCAGGAGAAACAAGAGAAACGCTATCCCCAAAGGACATCACTGACTACAATAATGAAGGAGAATTCGAGTATACACAGCCACAACATCAGGATTATGACAATCTTATCTCCATTTCAGGCCAGGAGAAACCTATTGATTTCCTGTCAAACCTAATCATGGTCAACAGGGATGTGCCATGCGAAAAGGGAAGGAGACCTTCACACCCGGGGGGCATGATAGAAAAGCATGAAGGAGGAGAAAAGAGAGAAAGCAATAACAGCAGACCTGCGAAGCGGGGGGGGGGGGACAAGGCATGGTTGATAGAGGGAGATCGTGGTAGCGCTGGCACTGGGGAGTGTAAGGTAATGAGGATGGGCCAGACTGAGCGTAGGGGGACATATGTCTAGTGTGGCTCCATGAACGTGACAGACAGTCAGGAAGGAAGATGATATATTGAGAGTTAATACCACCGTACCAGTGAATATTCAACTAGTGAATACCAAGGAACCACTGCGGATATAATGTATAAATTATTGAGTTCATTAATTACCATACTTCAAGGTAAGGTCAGGGAACATTTTACAGAGCTGATGCAAAAATCCTGCTCCTGATAGGAAATCTGCCTTTGAAGGAATAACAACCAGGATCCACTGGGAAACAGGTGCTTGAAAACAAACATAGACAAGAGCTTGAGGACACAGCATCATTATCACACATTTCAATAATCTCCCAAACTGAAGCAAAAGGCAGGACAAAACAACCTCCTCCTCAAACACTGATCAGTTAAGGCAAGAGCATATCTCAATCTGCTCACGTTTTATTGTCTCAAACACCAACATGCTACCATTGGTACAGCACTGTCAGAGTGTTGGCTGCCTTCCATTCCCGAACAACAAGGCCAATGTTGTGTTTCTTGGGAATAAAAAGGAAATACAGAGAAACTCTGGGGAAGTTCTATAATGCTGTCGCTAATTGGCGTAATTAAGAGCATCAAGCTTTAATGAGTTCTTGGCTCGATGTGACCAAAGATATCCAAAGGCCATCTGAGTGAGTGAGTGAATGAAAGAGTGAGTGAGTGAGCGAGGAGACTTTGGAATGATAGGAAGTGTTCATAAGAGACGCCTTGCTGAACTTCTCATGTTAGAACTTCGAACCAGGGGTTGGAACCGAAATAATTTTTCAATCGTTTTGTTCTGAACAGAACCATTATATTTTTTCGTTCCATACTGTTCCGACCAGCAAAAAAAAAATCTTAACCGTTTAGAATGCAAATATAAAATATATTTTGATTTGTTTAACACTTTTTTGGTTACTACATGATTCCATATGTGTAAATAGTATAGTAAAAATAAAGAAAAATGCTTGAATGAGTAGGTGTCAAAACTTTTGACTGGTACTATATATATATATATATATATATATATATATATATATATATATATATATATATATATATATATATATATATATATATATATATATATATATATATATACATATACACACACACACACTGCTCAAAAAAATAAAGGGAACACTTAAACAACACAATGTAACTCCAAGTCAATCACACTTCTGTGAAATCAAACTGTCCACTTAGGAAGCAACACTGATTGACAAATTTCACATGCTGTTGTGCAAATGGAATAGACAACAGGTGGAAAGTATAGGCAATTAGCAAGACACCCCAATAAAGGACTGGTTTTGCAGGTGGTGACCACAGACCACTTCTCAGTTCCTATGCTTCCTGGCTGATGTTTTGGTTACTTTTGAATGCTGGCGGTGCTTTCACTCTGGTGGTAGCATGAGACGGAGTCTACAACCCACACAAGTGGCTCAGGTAGTGCAGCTCATCCAGGATGGCACATCAATGCGAGCTGTGGCAAGAAGGTTTGCTGTGTCTGTCAGCGTAGTGTCCAGAGCATGGAGTCGCTACCAGGAGACAGGCCAGTACATCAGGAGACGTGGAGGAGGCCGTAGGAGGGCAACAACCCAGCATCAGGACCGCTACCTCCGCCTTTGTGCAAGGAGGAGCAGGAGGAGCACTGCCAGAGCCCTGCAAAATGACCTCCAGCAGGCCACAAATGTGCATGTGTCTGCTCAAACGGTCAGAAACAGACTCCATGAGGGTGGTATGAGGGCCCGACGTCCACAGGTGGGGGTTGTGCTTACAGCACAACACCGTGCAGGACGTTTGGCATTTGTCAGAGAACACCAAGATTGGCAAATTCGTCACTGGCGCCCTGTGCTCTTCACAGATGAAAGCAGGTTCACACTGAGCACACGTGACAGACGTGACAGAGTCTGGAGATGCCGTGGAGAACGTTCTGCTGCCTGCAACATCCTCGAGCATGACCGGTTTGACGGTGGGTCAGTCATGGTGTGGGTGGTATTTCTTTGGGGGGCCGCACAGCCCTCCATGTGCTCGCCAGAGGTAGCCTGACAGCCATTAGGTACCGAGATGAGATCCTCAGACCCCTTGTGAGACCATATACTGGTGCGGTTGGCCCTGGGTTCCTCCTAATGCAAGACAATGCTAGACCTCATGTGGCTGGAGTGTGTCAGCAGTTCCTGCAAGAGGAAGGCATTGATGCTATGGACTGGCCCGCCCGTTCCCCAAACCTGAATCCAATTGAGCACATCATGTCTCGCTCCATCCACCAACGCAACGTTGCACCACAGACTGTCCAGGAGTTAGCGGATGCTTTAGTCCAGGTCTGGGAGGAGATCCCTCAGGAGACCATCCGCCACCTCATCAGTCCTCATGTCCTCCTGAGTGGCGCAGTGGTCTAAGGCACTGCATCACAGTGCTAACTGTGCCACTAGAGATCCTGGTTCGAATCCAGGCTCTGTCGCAGCCGGCCGCGACCGGGAGACTCATGGGCGGCGCACAATTGGCCCAGCGTCGTCCAGGGTAGGGGAGGGAATGGCCCGGCAGGGATGTAGCTCAGTTGATAGAGCATGGCGTTTGCAACGCCAGGGTTGTGGGTTTGATTCCCACGGGGGGCCAGTATAAAAAATAAAAATAAAAATAACATAAAAAATATATATATGTATTCACTAACTGTAAGTCGCTCTGGATAAGAGTGTCTGCTAAATGACTAAAATGTAAAATGTAAATCAGGAGCATGCCCAGGCGTTGTAGGGAGGTCATACAGGCACGTGGAGGCCACACACACTACTGAGCCTCATTTTGACTTGTTTTAAGGACATTAAATCAAAGTTGGATCAGCCTGTAGTGTGGTTTTCCACTTTAATTTTGAGGGTGACTCCAAATCCAGACCTCCATGGGTTGATACATTTGATTTCCATTGATATTTTTTGTGTGATTTTGTTGTCAGCACATTCAACTATGTAAAGAAAAAAGTACTTAATAAGATGATTTCATTCATTCAGATCTAGGATGTGTTATTTTAGTGTTCCCTTTATTTTTTTGAGCAGTATATATATATATATATATATATATATATATACATACACACATACATACATACAGTGGGGAGAACAAGTATTTGATACACTGCCGATTTTGCAGGTTTTCCTACTTACAAAGCATGTAGAGGTCTGTAATTTTTATCATAGGTACACTTCAACTGTGAGAGATGGAATCTAAGAAAATCACATTGTATGATTTTTAAGTAATTAATTTGCATATTATTGCATGACATAAGTATTTGATCACCTACCAACCAGTAAGAATTCCGGCTCTCACAGACCTGTTAGTTTTTCTTTAAGAAGCCCTCCTGTTCTCCACTCATTACCTGTATTAACTGCACCTGTTTGAACTCGTTACCTGTATAAAAGACACCTGTCCACACACTCAATCAAACTCCAACCTCTCCACAATGGCCAAGACCAGAGAACTGTGTAAGGACATCAGGGATAAAATTGAGACTGGGATGGGCTACAGGACAATAGGCAAGCAGCTTGGTGAGAAGGCAACAACTGTTGGCGCAATTATTAGAAAATGGAAGAAGTTCAAGATGACGGTCAATCACCCTCGGTCTGGGGCTCCATGCAAGATCTCACCTCGTGGGGCATCAATGATCATGAGGAAGGTGAGAGATCAGCCCAGAACTACACAGCAGGACCTGGTCAATGACCTGAAGAGAGCTGGGAGCACAGTCTCAAAGAAAACCATTAGTAACACACTACGCCGTCATGGATTAAAATCCTGCAGCGCACGCAAGGTCCCCCTGCTCAAGCCAGCGCATGTCCAGGCCCGTCTGAAGTTTGCCAATGACCATCTGGATGATCCAGAGGAGGAATGGGAGAAGGTAATGGGTCTGATGAGACAAAAATATAGCTTTTTGGTCTAAACTCCACTCGCCGTGTTTGGAGGAAGAAGAAGGATGAGTACAACCCCAAGAACACCATCCCAACTGTGAAGCATGGAGGTGGAAACATCATTCTTTGGGGATGCTTTTCTGCAAAGGGGACAGGACGACTGCACCGTATTGAGGGGAGGATGGATGGGGCCATGTATCGCGAGATCTTGGCCAACAACCTCCTTCCCTCAGTAAGAGCATTGAAGATGGGTCGTGGCTGGGTCTTCCAGCATGACAACGACCCGAAACACACAGCCAGGGCAACTAAGGAGAGGCTCCGTAAGAAGCATCTCAAGGTCCTGGAGTGGCCTAGCCAGTCTCCAGGCCTGAACCCAATATAAAATATTTGGAGGGAGTTGAAAGTCCGTATTGCCCAGCGACAGCCCCGAAACCTGAAGGATCTGGAGAAGGTCTGTATGGAGGAGTGGGCCAAAATCCCTGCTGCAGTGTGTGCAAACCTGGTCAAGACCTACAGGAAACTTATGATCTCTGTAATTGCAAACAAAGGTTTCTGTACCAAATATTAAGTTCTACTTTTCTGATGTATCAAATACATATGTCATGCAATAAAATGGAAATTAATTACTTAAAAATCATACAATGTGATTTTCTGGATTTTTGTTATAGATTCCGTCTCACAGTTGAAGTGTACCTATGATTAAAATTACAGACCTCTACATGCTTTGTAAGTAGGAAAACCTGCAAAATCGGCAGTGTTTCAAATACTTGTTCTCCCCACTGTGTGTGTGTGTATATATATATATATATATATATATATATATATATATATATATATATATATATATATATATATATATATATATATATATATATATATATATATATATATACACACACATTTTAGTCATTTAGCAGACGCTCTTATCCAGAGCGACTTACAGTTGAGTGAGTGCATACATTATTCTTTTTTTTTTTATACTGGCCCCCCGTGGGAATCGAACCCACAACCCTGGTGTTGCAAACGCCATGCTCTACCAACTGAGCTACATCCCTGCAGGCCATACCCTCCCCTACCCTGGACGACGCTGGGCCGATTGTGCGCCGCCCCATGGGTCTCCCGGTCGCGGCCGTCTAAGGATTCGAACCAGGATCTCTAGTGGCACAGCTAGCACTGCAATGCAGTGACCACTGCGCCACTCGGGAGACACATATACACATACATACACACACACACTGAGTGTACAAAACATTAAGAACACTGTCCTAATATTGAGTTGCACGCCATTCAGAGGGTAGGACGGAATAAGAAAAAAATGCCCGGAATGTAAAATAACGTTATTAACTGGTTCCCATGCTTTTAAAATAACCGTTCTGTTCCGGGACAGTATAGATCACTTTCATTCATGGTTTTGATTCTGTTCCTCGAAAATGTCTGTTATTTTCCGGTTTTGTTCGCCCTGCTTTGAACTCCAATTACCCTTTTGAGAACCCTGCCGTAATGAATTAATCATTTGAATGATTCTGATCATTTGTATTCTCCTAAGAATATTTATATTTCAGCATGAGATCAATGGGCCAAAGCCTTCTATAGAGATAGATATTGGATACATATACATACAGTTCTGACAAGGGCAGCCCTGACAGGCTCTGCCAATAGAACAGAAGAGGATTATGAGAAGGGTGATGTGTTTTTTCATAAATAAACATTGTGTAACAAAATGGTCCCTGGGGCTAAACAGCCTGATGCTGCAGTGAAATGTTTAATTTTATGGAACAAAGCCAGCTTTTCAAATGAGATGGATTAATTTTTAAACTGTCATTCAAGTCCCCAAAACTCAGGATGCCTGCCACCTCGGAATGTATATTCTAATCTCTCTCTTATGATCCAGGTAAATCATTGAGCACACTTTTTATTTCCCAATAACAACCTGGTTAATAAAATGTCCTACTTTTCAAACATTGTGATCTGGAATTCTGTAGCAATGATCCACAATCATCTGGTCCCATAGAGATCCATCTCTGGTGCAACAAGTTGAGCACGGTCCCTGACAAACAAAAAAACAAAGCAACTGTCCCTGGCAACCTACCAACAGTACTGTATACAGAGACGGTTTTCTCAAGGTCAAATATGAATCACCAGCATTTATTCTGCACCCAGTTTCCTGACCAAATATTACCACGACTCTAGAGATGGCGTTCCCCTGAGAATTTAATTCAGTACTATCCACTCTAAAAGATGCTATTAGGATGTGGCCATGCATCAGCGTTTCGACACGTCCACACCAGACTGTGTAAGCAGTGGCGAGCAGCATTTCATTTCTTCAGGGGGGCTAGGGAGACACTGAGGCATAAGGATAAGCATTACCATCCGTCGTGCCGTGAACTGATACACCAAGCTACACACAAATCAGACAACACACAGGTACTCCGACACACAGTCATACAAACACATACCTACTAACACTAGCAGATATTCAACCCACAACATGCACACAAATACTCACACACACATACAAAGATGCCCATGTAAACATGCACACACTCACAAATACTCTCAGAACACACACAAACCCACAAAAAAATGAGCCACCCATGAGAAACAATAGATGAGAATGCGGCTCCTATCTCAGCCCAGTGTAATGACATTGTGTTTGTGCTGCATTGACCCTGGCCTCTGCAATCATTAATTTCAATCAGCCCTTGCTACATGGGGTCTGGGCTCCTGTTTACAGGGTCTGAGGAGAATCTAATAAGACGTGGCAGTCTCCAGGGAGGCTCTTCACCCACCACTCCACACTCACCTCTGGGGAGGGGGCATGACCTTATGGAGGCTTTCTGGAGACCAGAAGCATTGGGGACCAGATATTATGGGGACCCGATATTATGGGGACCTGATATTATGATATGATGGGGACCTGATATTAATGGGAAACTGATATTATGATATGATGGGGACCTGATATTAATGGGAAACTGATATTATGATATGATGGGGACCTGATATTATGATATGATGGGGACCAGATATGATGGGGACCTGATATTATGATGAGGACCAGATATGATGGGGACCTGATATTATGATGTGATGGGGACCTGATATTATGACAGTTTACCAAACCAGCACTAACCCACCTGATTCAACTGATCGACTGATGATTAAGCTGTTGGGTCCCCAGAAACCAGGATTGGGAAACACTATTATGAGGACCAAACAATCAGACCCTACTGTTGTATTTTTATTGACAATTATTTTACCAGGTAAGTTGACTGAGAAAATATTATCTTTCACAGTAACGACCTGGGGAAGAGTTACAGCGGAGAAGAGAGGGGAAGAATGAGCCAATTGGAAGCTAGGGGTGATTACGTGGCCATGATGGTATGAGGGCAAGATTGGGAATTTAGCCAGGACACCAGGGTTAACACCCCTACTCTTACAATAAGTGCCATGAGATCTTTAGTGGGTTCTATGTCGTTGGGTTCTTACGGGTTCAATGTCTTTGGGTAAAGTCCTGTTGAACTTTTACTCAAAATCTTAAATGTTGTCATTGATTATTAGATAGATTGTGTTTGGGAAAAGCCAAGATCAGGCATGTGTAAAGGATGTTTATAAATCCCTGTGTCAAATACTCAAATACTGTATAAATACGCTTTCAATTAATATACATTTCATGTGTCCACATAACACTGTATATTGAAGAAGCACATTGAATCTCATTCACAAAGACCCATATGTTCATCAAGGCTCTGATATGCATGCACTTCAAACAATGCTAGTCTGTTTGCAAACTCCCAACGGCACACTGGCGCCCCCAAGTGTAGAGAAAAATTCAGCGTATTCAATATTTGCTCTGATCCCAACTGCTGTCTATAATGCTATAAGTTGTTTGGTTTACAGAAATATCAACACATAAGCTAGGATTCACTCAAACAAGCCTTCTTTGAATCTCCACATCCAGATGAAAGCAAATCTGATGACATTACATGATTTGGGAAAACACTAATGAAAGATGTATTCTGAAACACATGGTTTTAATAAATAGTGTAAGTATTTTTCAGCCCAACTTCCATTGTATTCCAAGAGTTACTGAAAACTGTATTTCAAATGTCTGGTTTTCTCCCTTGTTTATGCACCTGGGTTGTAAAGCAATGTAGAGACAGTATACCTTTTGTATATGTTGTCCAGGTGAAAACATAAAACAGATAAAACCCCTGGACTGGACTGAGTGACTCACAGCTGGACAGAATTGGCTTAGCTTCAACTTCCAATGACTTCTCACTCATTTGAAATGGGACGGGAATGACATCATTTCCCATTAAAAGTAAAACCGGGCTGGCTATCGCTTTTGTTATCTGAAAGGACACAGGAGAGATAGGTGATGTCTGACTTAAAGGCTCTTTGACGCTCAAGGTCGAAGTGAGACAAGTCACTGATGACTGAGGTTATTTCAGACTGAGGGATTAGTCCATCTCTGCTACAAACAAGACCGCAGACAGATCTCCTTTAAAACCACTTCACAGAATCACCTTGATTTTCTATTTTTCTGTAATCATCTTTAATTGGGCATTGATTGTGGAACATTAAGGGCCTGAATACATTTACATTATTTTGCAGACGCTCTTAATACTAATAAGGCTCTGACAAAATATGAATCACTACTACTATACTTTGAGATTACATTACATTTTGTTTGCCATTTTGACTGATTGACGTTCAGTTGATGTGTATTCATTGTACTGAAATGCTGAATGGCTTGTATGCCAAAAACTTCTGATAAATACGGCAATCAAATATCTGATTAACAATATCCTGGTCTCAACATCAAAGCATGGGGGGACAGAGTTGTGGAAGTGGAATCATGGGAGGTCATGACCCATAAGTACTCACCAGACTAGAGGTAAGTGAGGGGGCGGACTTCCCCAGGGTGGTGGAGCACATCCGCACCAGGTTGGAGGTCTCTGAGGGGGTCTGCCATGCCTGCTGGGGCGACACATAGGGCAGCAGGTACTTTCCTATAGGACAAGACACACAACAGTATTTAAACTATAGAGAGAAGATACTTTCCTGTAGGACAAGACCGACAACCAGCATTGCCGCCACTACAAAAAATATATACATTTAAAAAAAATTATGATAATTTTAGGAATGATAAAACATTTTGTGTAAACAACTACTAAAACCAGATATGAAGTATGTAGAAAAGATAATGGAGCAATACATTTTTTAATAAGATAATCTTTGAGAACTAACAATGATCAAAATAAAAACTAGACAGTCAGGGAGATCCTAAAATTCCAAAAATGTCACGGCATGAGGCCCCAATGAGTTTGTTATGTTTGTGTCACTCAGATAGGATAATAATATGGCATAAGCCATTGTATAATGTGTAGAATTGCAGTAAATTAGCTTTAAAAAAAAGCAACATTTTACTGATTTTATTTTGGGTGTAAAAAAGACTAGGAGCCAAGGACACATTCACGCTATGAGGATACCCGTGGCCTACTCACACCATTTGCCCATGTGAATGGATAATAAATACAAGGTCATACAAAAACAAATTACATTATCATTGAGTGCTTCACAGAAATGAACTGAGCTCTGCCCCGGTCTTTCTCCTCTGTTTAGAGAGACTGAGCTGAAGCCCCTAAAACATCTTAGGCTCACAGGGGGTAAATGAGGCAGCAGTGAAAGTCAATCCACTTACGAGATCAGTGACGCTACAAACACTGCACAACCACGAGGCATACCTGAACTTGCATGAAGACCCAGATAATATATTCATAGAAGGCTATAATACAGGAAGGATACTTTTACACTGATTTATGAGATGTATTTTTTGTTTTATTATAGTATACCTCAAACAAGAAAGTAATCCAATAGATTAATAAATGATTAAATAAAAATGAGATGTGTCTGAGCAAGGGCATGTTGAAGAGATGTTTCATACATAGAATCCTAAGATTAACAAGCTCTGAATAAATACATATTTTCAGGGGCAAATATTTTATATTTTCTTAAGTTTCTTTCCCCAAGAGTTGTCTCCCAGTAACAGTCGCTAGATGGCAGTAGGTGCACAGGTGGTACGATTACCATCAACAGTCAAGCACACTAGGACTTATGTCATTGAGGCTCCTGGCAGTAAATTGAAAAGAGTCTCCCTGGAATTGTGTGCCACCCTCCGGGCTCTTATCATCCCACTCATCCCCTCTAGACTTCCATGTGTGTGTTTAATTCCATTTCTTGTTGAAGGACGCACGGCAAGTCAGCGGCCAAAATGGGAGGATTAACAGTTTTTGCGGAGTGGAGTAGAAAAGAGGGAGACACTACGCTCACCTCGCTATGGCCTAATGTGTTTAGAGCAGCAAAACTCTGGTCCTGGGGGGCCGTGGTGTAAGCTGAGTCTGGTCCTGGGGGGCCGTGGTGTAAGCTGGGTCTGGTCCTGGGGGGCCGTGGTGTAAGCTGGGTCCTGGGGGGCCGTGGTGTAAGCTGGGTCCTGGGGGGCCGTGGTGTAAGCTGGGTCCTGGGGGGCCGTGGTGTAAGCTGGGTCCTGGGGGGCCTTGGTGTAAGCTGGGTCTGGTCCTGGGGGGCCGTGGTGTAAACTGGATTTTGGTCATTGGGGGCCGTGGTGTAAGCTGGGTTTTGATCCTTGATCTTGCCGTTTGATCAGAGACCGATAGAGACCTTGGTAAGAAGGTGTGTGGACTCTGGCAAATCAATAACATTAGCTGATCAAGAAAATGCCAGGGGGACAATGTCAGCAGGTGTGGCCTTCAAACCACTGGAATCTGATGACCTAAAATATAATACAAATAAAAATTGTTCCATGTTGTCCAACGTATATAGTCTAAGTCCCTCCAGCTCTGCCCATTGAAGCCAGACAGCGATAGAGTGCATAGCGTTCACTTTCACACTCACTGCATTTAGATATTCTTGATCTGCTTTAGTCTACAGCCCAAGAAAGACCTAGCCAAACGTGAACACTGATGAATCGTGCCAACTCAAACAGCTAGCTAAAATGCCTGATCGTCCCTTGAATAAGGATGCAATCAGACGGGTGAAATGAAGAGTCTGATCACATATGATGCACACCGCTCTGACAAGTGAGAATTCAACCACTTACAGCGAAGCGCCTTTGTCTAATTTGGGATTTGCAATATGTGGCTGAAGAAGCAAATGTCTTATTATTTTGGTTCTGTCTGCCACGCTGGCACTGCTGAAATTGTCTGCACGTAACAGTGCTGTGAAGACAACTCGAAGCGAAATGGGTGCATGAAATGTACAAATGAAGAGGCGATGGAAACGAGAGCAACGAGTTCAAATGAAACGTCAAAAACAAGAGTCAACAGCTCCCTGAGAAGCTATTCAACTGAAGTCACGACCAACAAGTGTAGGTAATACCATGGTGATATGTAAAACCTTCTGTTTGCCTATTGTATGTGTGTATGTGTGCATGGGATTACATACAGTGGGGAAAAACAGTATTTAGTCAGCCACCAATTGTGCAAGTTCTCCCACTTATGCACGCATGACTGTAAGTCGCTTTGGATAAAAGCGTCTGCTAAATGGCATATTATTATTATTATTATTATTATTAAAAAGATGAGGCCTGTAATTTTCATCATAGGTACACGTCAACTATGACAGACAAATTGAGAAAAGAAAATCCTGAAAATCACATTGTAGGATTTTTAATGAATTTATTTGCAAATTATGGTGGAAAATAAGTATTTGGTCAATAACAAAAGTTTCTCAATACTTTGTTATATACCCTTTGTTGGCAATGACACAGGTCAAACGTTTTCTGTAAGTCTTCACAAGGTTTTCACACACTGTTGCTGGTATTTTGGCCCATTCCTCCATGCAGATCTCCTCTAGAGCAGTGATGTTTTGGGGCTGTCGCTGGGCAACACGGACTTTCAACTCCCTCCAAAGATTTTCTATGGGGTTGAGATCTGGAGACTGGCTAGGCCACTCCAGGACCTTGAAATGCTTCTTACGAAGCCACTCCTTCGTTGCCCGGGCGGTGTGTTTGGGATCATTGTCATGCTGAAAGACCCAGCCACGTTTCATCTTCAATGCCCTTGCTGATGGAAGGAGGTTTTCACTCAAAATCTCACGATACATGGCCCCATTCATTCTTTCCTTTACACGGATCAGTCGTCCTGGTCCCTTTGCAGAAAAACAGCCCCAAAGCATGATGTTTCCACCCCCATGCTTCACAGTAGGCATGGTGTTCTTTGGATGCAACTCACCATTCTTTGTCCTCCAAACACGACGAGTTGAGTTTTTACCAAAAAGTTCTATTTTGGTTTCATCTGACCATATGACATTCTCCCAATCCTCTTCTGGGTCATCCAAATGCACTCTAGCAAACTTCAGACGGGCCTGGACATGTACTGGCTTAAGCAGTGTATTTTATACTGATAACAAGTTCAAACAGGTGCCATTAATACAGGTAACGAGTGGAGGACAGAGGAGCCTCTTAAAGAAGAAGTTACAGGTCTGTGAGAGCCAGAAATCTTGCTTGTTTGTAGGTGACCAAATACTTATTTTCCACCATAATTTGCAAATAAATTCATTAAAAATCCTACAATGTGATTTTCTGGAAAAAATTCTCAATTTGTCTGTCATAGTTGACGTGTACCTATGATGAAAATTACAGGCCTCTCTCATCTTTTTAAGTGGGAGAACTTGCACAATTGGTGGCTGACTAAATAGTTTTTTCCCCCACTGTACGTGTGTGTGTGACGTGGTTGTCCTACACTTCAGGCATCATGCTTTACACCCAACTCAATCAACTATTTAGCCTTTCCAATCTGTCGAAATAACCATATCTTCCATCTCCTTTACTCCCCCAAATGCTTTTCACATGAGAGTATGATAGCCTGGCTCATGAAAAGAGGCACGTGAGCGCAGTGCGACAAGACTCTACAGTAAGCCTAGGAGCATTACACATGCATGAGCCTTGCGTTACCAAAATGTCCTGCCTTTCCTCATGCATTTCAAAAGAGGCTGACGGAGATGTGATGCTGAAGAGGATTTTCACCTATCCCCATGTATGGTGACCTCACAGCACAAAATCACTTACCTTAGAAAATACTTCAGGTAGGGTTAAGGAGGTTCGTTTTTCTACTGTTATTAAACCATGCAACATCATTTTGTAAATGGATTGTGTGTGTGTGTGTCTTTCAGACTGCCTACCATAACTAGTCACCAATTGTTTTAGTTTGACATTTTCCCTTCTCCATGAACGCCTTTTCCCTCTGCAACAGTTATCTAACTCTTCACCTAGACTTAGGACACACACACACACACACACATCTGCTTCTCTACCTGGGTCCTGTTCAGTAGGGAGCAATCGTTTCAAAACTGGGAGGCACAACCTGAATTTGTCCACTAAGAACACAGATTTTTGTCTCCCGTTGAAAGGTACTATGCTACAGTATGCCCTCCTGAACACGACCCCGGTGTTCTAAGACATGTCCCCATCCCATGGCATCCGGTGCCTTACTGTAAAGCCTGGGGGGGAAACAGGATGACAGAGAGGAAAATGGTGATCCTTTCTTCCTCTCAGTGAGATGGCTTCCTCACCAGTGCTCATCACACACCAGCCAGGAGAGGAAATCCTTACTGAGTGTCCCAGTCAGAGCACAGCTCCAGTTCACTCCTCACTGCATTATTAGCCAAACAGAACAAAACACATTGTATGGCTCACCGTTCATATCTAATTCACTGGTAAATGGTCACAGAGAAGCATCTTCTTGATCTTGTGTTTCTGTGTGTTCCTGCGTGTGTGCATGCATAAGTACATGCTTGCATATGCTAGCATTTTTGCATGTGTGTGTGTACAGTATGTGCACCTGCAGGGCAATATGTTTGTTACCTGTGAGAGCGCCCCCTAGGCTTCCCCTGCGGAGGTTGTTGCCGTCCTCACTGAGCTGTCTCTTAAACTTGAGGGCGAGGCCGTGGATCACCTCAGGGTTACTGGACTTCCGGAAGGGCATGGATGGAGGGTACAGGATGTTATCCAACTGCAGGAGAGGAAAGGAGGATGTTAGGTTAGGTCAATGCATCCCAAATGGTGGATCAAGAACCCCACTGGTGGGTTATGGCTGGGAGATTTATCTAATTCATTTCATTAATTCGAATGTATGTTTTTGCACGATATTCCAAAATGCCTGTATCGCAAGAATCAAGGTTTTGTTATTTTTTGTTTTTATGAGCGTTTATATCTGCTTGTTCTCATGTTGTATTTTTGGTCTCGTCTCCTTTGCTCCTCTGTGTGCACCTTCCCATTTACACCAAAGATATGTATAAAATTACGAGATACATGTCTCCACCCTAACAATGGCAGTCGTTGTCCCAAAGGCGGGAAGGCAAGCTTAGGTCCAAAATAAGCCCATAGAAACCGGTGGGCTTATTTGGGACATATTTTAGCGAGAGCGAAACCTCTCGCTTCGCCTCTTCCTCTATGGTTTACACACACACACACACCAAGCCCCTGCATCTCACGCCAACAAAGGTGAGATCATATTTCCCCTCTGACAAGCGGTTTCAAATCGCTATTAGCATTTGAGGTTTGGTCCAACAGAGTCGGTCACATGGACACCAAAAGACATTGTGACATTATTTTACTGTAATAAAGGAGAAGTTAACTTTTCTAACGATACCCTTTTTATGTCTCAACTCCTCAAATTGCGTGCAGAGCAGACACTACTAAAATAAGAGTATCAATGAACATTGATTCTGGAAAATGAATGCTCAGGTTTGTCGCGCGCAGCATTGGGTTACCGCTAACAGCATTTTAGCCAAATACTGTTATACTAGTGGTCTAGTCTGTGTTTTATAAATGTGTAATAAGCATAAAACAATTCTATAAGGAATTGGCAACTCCCTCTCATTCTGAGAAATAAGGTAGGCCACTTGATTTCAACATCAGAACAAAGTGGACAGGCTAGCATGCTTTTCAAACAGTTGGAGACAGACAGAAGGGTGTGTTCATAACAACTCAACTGTTCAACCTTATTAGCTAGCAAACAGATCCAAGTTGGCTAAACTTGAAATATAAAAGATTAGCTGGCTAATCACTAGCACTTGGGCTTGAGAGATTGATGATGAAACCGGTGTTCCATAGCATAATGCCTGCTACAAGTAGGGCTGTCCCCGACTAAAATAATCTTGGGTTGACCATGTAGGCTATTTTCACATAGTTGGCAATATAAGTTACTTTTTAGGTTTGTATCATTTTCATTTAGATTTGGATAGAATGTTGATTAACCACATGACAATGATTGAGATATGAAGACATTATATATTAAATGAAACTGTTCCATGAAAATGTGCATATGAAAACCATAACTGGAACGCAGATGGGTAGAAATGGTCAGATAAATTGGCATTCCACATGAGAAAGGTTGCCGACTCCTCGTGTAGCCTATTACCGGCAACTTCAGGAAAATAACGGCAGAATCTGCGAAAGCCAGCAGGAGCAGAAGGAGAATAGTTGGGTCTGGTTTTTTTCTTCTGGTTATCTAGATCTCTGGCATCCGAGGCATTTGGCTTATTTCATCAAACCGTAAGCTTAAAGCATCAGACAAGCTCAATGCATATTGTTGATTTTATTAAAACACATATGGAAAAATTCACATGTAAAAATATTTACCAATTGATTGGTCGAAAGAACAGCCCTAGGTAAAGGGGAGTCAGATCTGTGGAATAAATTTGACTAGTCGTGGAAAATACTGGAGATCAAGAAAAATAAGATAAAGGAGCAAGCGCTGCATGCATATTCTGTGTGCCAAACAGGTGCTGTTAGATTACAATATAATTTGACTGTTTGGAACAATGTAAACACTAAATCAATTATAAGCGTACCTGAGAGTCTTGTAAAAAAAAATAAAAAAATAAAAGGTTAAGCCTTTATGACAGCAAAAACTAAAAACAGTTGGGATGGTGTTCTTCGGCTTGCAAGCCCACCCTTTTTCCTTCAAACATAACGATGGTCATTATGGCCAAACAGTTCTATTTTTGTTTCATCAGATCAGAGGACATTTCTCCAAAAAGTACGATCTTTGTCCCCATGTGCAGTTGCAAACCGTAGTCTGGCTTTTTATGGCGGTTTTAGAGCAGTGGCTTCTTCCTTGCTGAGCGGCCTTTCAGGTTACGTCGATATAGGACTCGTTTTACTGTGGATATAGATACTTTTGTACCTGTTTCCTCCAGCATCCTCACAAGGTCCTTTTGACAGAGGAATTATGGTAAATGACTAAAATTGTTCCACCCCGATACTGATAATGACTGTGTAAACTCTGTTAGGGTTATCATTATAAACCCACTAACAGAGGAGGGGGTTAGACTGTGGAAATGTACAGGCCGCCTAAAAGGTGGGAGGTGCAAAGTTCCTTTGTGTGAAGGGATATAAAAAGTCTGTGTGTTTGGGCGCCAGAGCTCTCATGAATAAAGATACTGATGATTCTTGCTGACTGGAGATCTGTTTAATTCATGAAAACCAGAGCCTTACACCCACTGGGAAATATTCAAAGCATTGAGTTTAATTAGAAATAGAAATTCTCGTGACACCTTTGCTGTTGTTCTGGGATTGATTTGCACTTCTCACACCAAAAGTACGTTCATCTCTAGGAGACAGAACGCGTCTCCTTCCTGAGCGGTATGACGGCCGCGTGGTCTCATGGTGTTTTTACTTGCGTACTATTGTTTGTACAGATGAACGTGGTACCTTCAGGCATTTGGAAATTGCTCCCAAGGATGAACCAGACTTGTGGAGGTCTACAATGTTTTTTTCTGAGGTCTTGGCTGATTTCTTTTGATTTTCCCATGATGTCAAGCAAAGAGGCACTGATTTTGAAGGGACACCTCCAATTGACTCAAATGATGTCAATTAGCCTATCAGAAGCTTCTAAAGCCATGACATCGTTTTCTGGAATGTTCCAAGCTGTTTAAAAGGCATAGTCAACTTAGTGTATGTAAACTTCTGACCCACTGGAATTGTGATACAGTGAAATAATCTGTCTGCAAACAATTGTTTGAAAAAGTACTTGTGTCATGCACAAAGTAGCAGTCCTAACCGACTTGACAAAACTATAGTTTGTTAACAAGAAATTTGTGGAGTGGTTGAAAAACAAGTTTTAATGACTCCAACCTAAGTGAATGTAAACTTCCGACTTCAACTGTATGTGTGTGTGTATAAATATATACACATATATATACATACACATATATATACATATATACATATATATATATATATATATATATATATATACATATACATATACATATACATATATATATATATATATATATATATATATATATATATACATATATATATATATATATATATATATATATACATACATACATATACACACACACACACACACATACATATACATACATACATACAGTGGGGGAAAAAAGTATTTAGTCAGCCACCAATTGCGCAAGTTCTCCCACTTAAAAAGATGAGAGGCCTGTAATTTTCATCATAAGTACACGTCAACTATGACAGACAAATTGGAGAGAAAAAAATCCAGAAAATCACATTGTAGGATTTTTAATGAATTTATTAGCAAATTATGGTGGAAAATAAGTATTTGGTCACCTACAAACAAGCAAGATTTCAGGCTCTCACAGACCTGTAACTTCTTTAAGAGGCTCCTCTGTCCTCCACTCGTTACCTGTATTAATGGCACCTGTTTGAACTTGTTATCAGTATAAAAGACACCTGTCCACAACCTCAAACAGTCACACTCCAAACTCCACTATGGCCAAGACCAAAGAGCTGTCAAAGGACACCAGAAACAAATTGTAGACCTGCACCAGGCTGGGAAGACTGAATCTGCAATAGGTAAGCAGCTTGGTTTGAAGAAATCAACTGTGGGAGCAATTATTAGGAAATGGAAGACATACAAGACCACTGATAATCTCCCTCGATCTGGGGCTCCACGCAAGATCTCACCCCGTGGGGTCAAAATGATCACAAGAACGGTGAGCAAAAATCCCAGAACCACACGGGGGGACCTAGTGAATGACCTGCAGAGAGCTGGGACCAAAGTAACAAAGCCTACCATCAGTAACACACTACGCCGCCAGGGACTCAAATCCTGCAGTGCCAGACGTGTCCCCCTGCTTAAGCCAGTACATGTCCAGGCCCGTCTGAAGTTTGCTAGAGTGCATTTGGATGATCCAGAAGAGGATTGGGAGAATGTCATATGGTCAGATGAAACCAAAATAGAACTTTTTGGTAAAAACTCAACTCGTCGTGTTTGGAGGACAAAGAATGCTGAGTTGCATCCAAAGAACACCATACCTACTGTGAAGCATGGAAGTGGAAACATCATGCTTTGGGGCTGTTTTTCTGCAAAGGGACCAGGACGACTGATCCGTGTAAAGGAAAGAATGAATGGGGCCAAGTATCGTGAGATTTTGAGTGAAAACCTCCTTCCATCAGCAAGGGCATTGAAGATGAAACGTGGCTGGGTCTTTCAGCATGACAATGATCCCAAACACACCGCCCGGGCAACGAAGGAGTGGCTTCGTAAGAAGCATTTCAAGGTCCTGGAATGGCCTAGCCAGTCTCCAGATCTCAACACCATAGAAAATCTTTGGAGGGAGTTGAAAGTCTGTGTTGCCCAGCGACAGCCCCAAAACATCACTGCTCTAGAGGAGATCTGCATGGAGGAATGTGCCAAAATACCAGCAACAGTGTGTGAAAACCTTGTGAAGACTTACAGAAAACATTTGACCTGTGTCATTGCCAACAAAGGGTATATAACAAAGTATTGAGAAACTTTTGTTATTGACCAAATACTTATTTTCCACCATAATTTGCAAATAAATTCATTAAAAATCCTACAATGTGATTTTCTGGATTTTTTTTCTCTCATTTTGTCTGTCATAGTTGACGTGTACTTATGATGAAAATTACAGGCCTCTCTCATCTTTTTAAGTGGGAGAACTTGCACAATTGGTGGCTGACTAAATACTTTTTTCCCCCACTGTACATACATACAGTGGGGAGAACAAGTATTTGATACACTGCCGATTTTGCAGGTTTTCCTACTTACAAAGCATGTAGAGGTCTGTAATTTTTATCATAGGTACACTTCAACTGTGAGAGACGGAATCTAAAACAAAAATCCAGAAAATCACATTGTATGATTTTTAGGTAATTAATTTGCATTTTATTGCATGACATAAGTATTTGATCACCTACCAACCAGTAAGAATTCTGGCTCTCACAGACCTGTTAGTTTTTCTTTAAGAAGTCCTCCTGTTCTCCACTCATTACCTGTATTAACTGCACCTGTTTGAACTCGTTACCTGTATAAAAGACACCTGTCCACACACTCAATCAAACAGACTCCAACCTCTCCACAATGGCCAAGACCAGAGAGCTGTGTAAGGACATCAGGGATAAAATTGTAGACCTGCACAAGGCTGGGATGGGCTACAGGACAATAGGCAAGCAGCTTGGTGAGAAGGCAACAACTATTGGCGCAATAATTAGAAAATGGGAGAAGTTCAAGATGACGGTCAATCACCCTCGGTCTGGGGCTCCATGCAAGATCTCACCTCGTGGGGCATCAATGATCATGAGGAAGGTGAGGGATCAGCCCAGAACTACACGGCAGGACCTGGTCAATGACCTGAATAGAGCTGGGACCACAGTCTCAAAGAAAACCATTAGTAACACACTACGCCGTCATGGATTAAAATCCTGCAGCGCACGCAAGGTCCCCCTGCTCAAGCCAGCGCATGTCCAGGCCCGTCTGAAGTTTGCCAATGACCATCTGGATGATCCAGAGGAGGAATGGGAGAAGGTCATGTGGTCTGATGAGACAGAAATAGAGCTTTTTGGTCTAAACGCCACTCGCCGTGTTTGGAGGAAGAAGAAGGATGAGTACAACCCCAAGAACACCATCCCAACCGTGAAGCATGGCGGTGGAAACATCATTCTTTGGGGATGCTTTTCTGCAAAGGGGACAGGACGACTGCACCGTATTGAGGGGAGGATGGATGGGGCCATGTATCGCGATATCTTGGCCAACAACCTCCTTCCCTCAGTAAGAGCATTGAAGATGGGTCGTGGCTGGGTCTTCCAGCATGACAACGACCCGAAAAACACAGCCAGGGCAACTAAGGAGTGGCTCCGTAAGAAGCATCTCAAGGTCCTGGAGTGGCCTAGCCAGTCTCCAGACCTGAACACAATAGAACATCTTTGGAGGGAGCTGAAAGTCCGTATTGCCCAGCGACAGCCCCGAAACCTGAAGGATCTGGAGAAGGTCTGTATGGAGGAGTGGGCCAAAATCCCTGCTGCAGTGTGTACAAACCTGGTCAAGACCTACAGGAAACGTATGATCTCTGTAATTGCAAACAAAAGTTTCTGTACCAAATATTAAGTTCTGTTTTTCTGATGTATCAAATACTTATGTCATGCAATAAAATGCAAATTAATTACTTAAAAATCATACAATGTGTTGTTCTGGATTTTTGTTTTAGATTCCGTCTCTCACAGTTGAAGTGTACCTATGATAAAAATTACAGACCTCTACATGCTTTGTAAGTAGGAAAACCTGCAAAATCGGCAGTGTATCAAATACTTGTTCTCCCCACTGTACATACATACATACATACATACATACACACAGTGAGGTAAAAAAGTATTTGATCCTCTGCTGATTTTGTACGCTTTCCCACTGACAAATAATTTATCAGTCTATAATTTTTATGGTAGGTTTATTTGAACAGTGAGAGACAGAACAACAACAAAAGAAACACAAAAACGCATGTCAAAAATGTTATAAAATGATTTGCATTTTAATGAGTGAAATAAGTATTTGACCCCTTCTCAATCAGAAAGATTTCTGGCTCCCAGGTGTCTTTTATACAGGTAACGAGCTGAGATTAGGAGCACACTCTTAAAGGGAGTGCTCCTAATCTCAGCTTGTTACCTGTTTAAAAGACACCTGTCCACAGAAGCAATCAATCAGATTCCAAACTCTCCACCATGGCCAAGACCAAAGAGCTCTCCAAGGATGTCAGGGACAAGATTGTAGACCTACACAAGGCTGGAATGGGCTACAAGACCATCGCCAAGCAGCTTGGTGAGAAGGTGACAACAGTTGGTGCGGGGACAACTTCACCGCATCAAAGGGACGATGGACGGGGCCATGTACCGTCAAATCTTGGGTGAGAACCTCCTTCCCTCAGCCAGGGCATTGAAAATGGGTCGTGGATGGGTATTCCAGCATGACAATGACCCAAAACACACGGCCAAGTCAACAAAGGAGTGGCTTAAGAAGAAACACATTAAGGTCCTGGTGTGGCCTAGCCAGTCTCCAGACCTTAATCCCATAGAAAATCTGTGGAGGGAGCTGAAGGTTCGAGTTGCCAAACGTCAGCCTCGAAACCTTAATGACTTGGAGAAGATCTGCAAAGGAGGATGGAACAAAATCCCTCCTGAGATGTTTGCAAACCTGGTGGCCAACTACAGGAAACGTCTGACCTCTGTGATTGCCAACAAGGGTTTTGCCACCAAGTACTAAGTCATGTTTTGCAGAGGGCTCAAAGACTTATTTCCCTCATTAAAATGCAAATCAATTTATAACATTTTTGACATGCGTTTTTCTGGATTTTGTTGTTGTTATTCTGTCTCTCACTGTTCAAATAAACCTACCATTAAAATTATAGACTGATCATGTCTTTGTCAGTGGGCAAACGTACAAAATCAGCAGGGGATCAAATACTTTTTTCCCCTCACTGTATACACACACAACTACCGTTCAAAAGTTTGGGGTCACTTAGAAATGTCCTTGTTTTCGAAATTAAAGCAATTTTTTTGTCCATTAAAATAACATCAAATTGATCAGAAATACAGTGTGGACATTGTTAATGTTGTCAATGGCTATTGTAGCTGGAAACGGCAGATTCTTTATGGAATATCTACATAGGCGTAAATCTTTTATTTTTATTAGCCAGTCTGAGATATGGCTTTTTCTTTGCAACTCTTCTAGAAGGTCAGCATCCCGGAGTCGCCTCTTCACTGTTGACGTTGAGACTGGTGTTTTGCGGGTACTATTTAATGAAGCTGCCAGTTGAGGACCTGTGAGGCGTCTGTTTCTCAAACTAGACACTAATGTATTTGTCCTCTTGCTCAGTTGTGCACCGGGGCCTCCCACTCCTCTTTCTATTCTGGTTAGAGACAGTTTGCGCTGTTCTGTGAAGGGAGTAGTACACAGCGTTGTACGAGATCTTCAGTTTCTTGGCAATTTCTCGCAAGGAATAGCCTTCATTTCTCAGAACAAGAAGAGACTGACGAGTTTCAGAAGAAAGTTATTTGTTTCTGGCAATTTTGAGCCTGTAATCGAACCCACAATGGCTGATGCTCCAGATACTCAACTAGTCTCAAGAAGGCCAGTTTATTGCTTCTTTAATCAGCACAACAGTTTTCAGCTGTGCTAACATAATTGCAAAAGGGTTTTCTAATGATAAACTTGGATTAGCAAACACAACGTGCCATTGGAACACAGGACTGATGGTTGCTGATAATTGGCCTCTGTACGCCTATGTATTCCATAAAAAAATCAGCCGTTTCCAGCTACAATAGCCATTGACAACATTAATGTCTACACTGTATTTCTGATCAATTTTATGTTATTTTAAATAGACAAAATAATTGCTTTTCTTTCAAAAACAAGGACATTTCTAAGTGACCCCAAACTTTTAAACGGTAGTGTATATTGTGAATAAGTTTAAAAAAACTAAATATGATTTTTAGGCCATATCGCCCAGCCCTAGTTATGGCCAACTCAGATTGAAAAAAGGTCACAAGAACTTCTTTAGATGAAGATGCTGGTGATGGGGCTGAAGGTAAATGTTGTTCAGTACTGTTTCTGTATGACTACTAAAGCCTGATTAGAGATCACTTGTAGGAACAGTGAATGGACCCTACAGTTTTTCTCAGGGTGCTGAGAAAAATGGTGGTGCCTCTAACAACTTCACAAAGCCTCCCAGTGAGAGTACAATGTGTGTACAGTAGTTGCGCTGTAAAACTCTGTGCATAATCAACTCCTTGTTTACCCATACATTGTAATAAGTGTTGCATTGCAAACGTAGGAAAATGTGTGTTGCACCATCCTTGTAAAACCTATCATTGATTAAATCTGGGGTAGAAAGGCTAACCTGAGTACAAGAGATGCAATGACGCAAGGCTGGTCCACATAAACTGAGACAGGCAGAGTGTCTCATCTGCAATCTTAGTAAAACATATTCAGCCTACAGCCCCAACCAATCACACAATATGAGATCATTTCAGAGTAACTGAAAATATATTCGGAACATAATTTAGAAGAGTCAATCCCACTGGTCTACAATACCCCCATTTATTAATGTGCTTGCTTCTGCAAGACCTCTTCCTCTTATATGTTTAGACTGTTGAAGCAATCACATATTTTCTTCAGGAAATGCATATTTTCTAGTTCTCTTAGACATGTCTTTCCCAGGCTGTTAACCCTTTAGGTGGCAATAATTGTTAACAAACACATAGGTCCTTATGTCTTCAAATACTCTTACTAACCGCACTATTTGTGACATAAATTGAGTATGTAGTATTCTTATTGGTCATAGTATGGATATAGTTAGTATGCCAAAAGTTCCCGGATGTGGTACTACATTCGCCAAAATACTAAGTATACAAGCGGTGGACACTATTTCCGTGCTTTTAGGGCCCATAATGCAATTCAGAAAATGGGCGGGGCTTCACAACGTTTTCAGATTTGAAGAAAATGGCAGAAAATATGCAGCCGAAGTCCGACGAGATAGTTAAAGCAATGAATTTGTATCCTAATTATGAAAAATGTTAAGAAAATGTTGAGCAATGTAATAAAGTAATGACTTTATTGACACACAGACACAAAGGGACACACACACACTGACACAAAGGGACATACACTTAAAGTCCAAATAAGTTACATTACACGTTATGTTGGCTGACAATTTCTTAGCTACGCTATCCTTACGAACTGCATAGAATATCATTACAGCAGTATGTACCGGCATGTTAGCTAGCTACGTAATGTTTAGTTGGCTACTAATACATCGAACAGTGTATTAACTATATGCTATCTAACTAACCACCTTTTATTGACTTGATTATTCACGTCATTCTTAGCTTAGCTAAGTGGTATAGTTCTCAATGGACATTGTTAATGAAGTCGTAAAATGTCTAGCTAGTAATTTGTTATGCTGACAAGCTAGCAAGAAGTTGCATAGCAACAGCATCAACTTCCGGTAGATAGGCAAAGCGCTAGTACGCTCAACTGAAAGGATACAGCTCATTTACAGTACACTAAAATGAACTAATAGTATACACTCATTAAGTATGTAGTATACAGTATGTTAGTATGGGTAATCGAACACAGCTTAGGTGCAGGTGTATATAGGCCTACAGTAATACCCATAAACAAGGGGTTGAATTTCATGTCACAAGGCTGTGTTGAGATCTGAATGTATACAATAGGAGATCAACTTTGAGGTGATTACATCATCATAACAATATGCTCTGACAAATTACACCAATCTTTATCTTCAATGTTTTTTTTATTATTATTATTTATTTTAGTCATTTAGCAGACGCTCTTATCCAGAGCGACTTACACAGTTAGTGAATACATATTTTTTTATACTGGCCCCCCATGGGAAGCGAACCCACAACCCTGGCGTTGCAAACGCCATGCTCTATCAACTGAGCTACATCCCTGCCGGCCATTCCCTCCCCTACCCTGGACGACGCTGGGCCAATTGTGCGCCGCCCATGAGTCTCCTGGTCACGGCCAGCTGCGACAGAGCCTGGATTCGAACCAGGATCTCTAGTGGCACAGTTAGCACTGCGATGCAGTGCCTTAGACCACTGCGCCACCCAGGAGTTTTTGAAACAGACAATGGTCTGGTGAGTACTGTAGGTAACACCTCTGTACAGAACAATATGGAGAGGAAGAGGTCTCAAAGATACAGTATTTCGCATTCTTCACTGACACAGATGGTGCGCTCTATTATTGGCCCTCTCCACCACAGCCAGACACTGCTCTTTATCAGTCTGAACTGTAATACCAGAAAAGATCAATAGTTATATTCCCCAAATACGTCCATCCTGTTCTTTGTTTACCTTTGTGTTATTTCACTTTTTGAAAACAGCATGTCTTCGTGACAACTTGAACTTTACTAAACCTTAACTAGCTATCTTATAACACATCGCAGAATCCAAAATTGACCCGGCTAGGCCTTAGGGTGAAGAGCAGGGCTCCCCAACTGTTGGCCCGCGGGCCGAATATGGCACACGGATGGTTTAATTTGCCCCCCAAGTTATTTTATTCTATTTATTAGTATTGTTTTTTTTTTTTTTTTTTTACAAAATATTGTAAAAACACCAGGAAATCAGCTCTAAGTGAATTTAATTTTTGAAATCTGTTCCCAAGTACTCCCACGCATAATAGAGAGACACTGATCGTATACAAAGGTAAGCCAGGTTATGTTCCGGCCCCCCGACCAAAAGACCCACGGCTGAATCTATTTGACGATCCCTGGTGTAGGGGGTAGGAGTCCTCTTGGGATTCCACAAAGGGATCAATTTGAGTAGGATTTAGCCTCATTTTACATTTACATTTTCGTCATTTAGCAGACGCTCTTATCCAGAGCGACTTACAAATTGGTGCATTCACCTTATGATAGCCAGTGGGACAACCACTTTACAATTTATTTATTTATTTTTATTTAATTTTTAGGGGGGTGGGGTAGAAGGATTACTTTATCCTATCCCAGGTATTCCTTAAAGAGGTGGGGTTTCAAGTGTCTCCGGAAGGTGGTGAGTGACTCCGCTGTCCTGGTGTCGTGAGGGAGCTTGTTCCACCATTGGGGTGCCAGAGCAGCGAACAGTTTTGACTGGGCTGAGTGGGAACTGTGCTTCCGCAGAGGTAGGGGGGCCAGCAGGCCAGAGCTGGATGAACGCAATGCCCTCGTTTGGGTGTAGGGACTGATCAGAGCCTGAAGGTACGGAGGTGCCGTTCCCCTCACAGCTCCGTAGGCAAGCACCAGGGTCTTGTAGCAGATGCAAGCTTCAACTGGAAGCCAGTGGATTGTGCGGAGGAGCGGGGTGACGTGAGAGAACTTGGGAAGGTTGAACACCAGACGGGCTGCGGCATTCTGGATGAGTTGTAGGGGTTTAATGGCACAGGCAGGGAGTCCAGCCAACAGCGAGTTGCAGTAATCCAGACGGGAGATGACAAGTGCCTGGATTAGGACCTGTGCCGCTCCCTGTGTAAGGCAGGGTCGTACTCTGCGAATGTTGTAGAGCATAAACCTACAGGATCGGGTCACCGCCTTGATGTTAGCGGAGAACGACAGGGTGTTGTCCAGGGTCACGCCAAGGCTCTTTGCACTCTGGGAGGAGAACACAACAGAGTTGTCAACCGTGATGGCGAGATCATGGAACGGGCAGTCCTTCCCCGGGAGGAAGAGCTGCTCCGTCTTGCGAGGTTCAGCTTGCAGTGGTGAATCATCATCCACACTGATATGTCTGCCAGACATGCGATTCGCCACCTGGTTATCAGAAGGGGGAAAGGAGAAGATTAATTGTGTGTCGTCTGCGTAGCAATGATAGGAGAGACCATGTGAGGATATGACAGAGCCAAGTGACTTGGTGTATAGCGAGAATAGGAGAGAGCCTAGAACTGAGCCCTGGGGGACACCAGTGGTGAGAGCACGTGGTGCGGAGACAGATTCTCGCCACGCCACCTGGTAGGAGCGACCTGTCAGGTAGGACGCAATCCAAGAGTGAGCAGCGCAGGAGATGCCCAACTCGGAGAGCATGGAGAGGAGGATCTGATGGTTCACAGTATCAAAGGCAGCGGATAGGTCTAGAAGGATAAGAGCAGAGGAGAGAGAGTTAGCTTTAGCAGTGCGGAGAGCCTCCGTGACACAGAGAAAAGCAGTCTCAGTTGAATGACCAGTCTTGAAACCTGACTGGTTTGGATCAGAAAAGAAAGGGATACTGGTCTGTAGTTGTTGACATCGGAGGGATCGAGTGTAGGTTTTTTGAGAAGGGGTGCAACTCTCGCACTCTTGAAGACGGAAGGGACATAGCCAGCGGTCAAGGATGAGTTGATGAGCGAGGTGAGGTAAGGGAGAAGGTCTCCGGAAATGGTCTGGAGAAGAGAGGAGGGGATAGGGTCAAGCTGGCAGGTTGTTAGGCGGCCAGCCGTCACAAGTTTTCATCTGGAGAGAGAGGGGAGAAAGAAGTCAAAGCATAGGGTAGGGCAGTGTGAGCAGGACCCGCAGTGTCATTTGACTTAACAAACGAGGATCGGATGTCGTCAACCTTCTTTTCAAAATGGTTGACAAAGTCATCCACAGAGAGGGGGGGATTCAGCAGGGAGGAGAAGGTGGCAAAGAGCTTCCTATGGTTAGAGGCAGATGCTTGGAATTTAAAGTGGTAGAAAGTGGCTTTAGCAGCAGAAACAGAGGAAGAAAATGTAGAGAGGAGGGAGTGAAAAGATGACAGGTCCGCAGGGAGTCTAGTTTCCTCCATTTCCGCTCGGCTGCCCGGAGCCCTGTTCTGTGAGCTCGCAATGAGTCGTCAAGCCACGGAGCACGAGGGGAGGACCGAGCCGGCCGGGAGGATAGGGGACATGGAGAGTCAAAGGATGCAGAAAGGGAGGAGAGGAGGGTTGAGGAGGCAGAATCAGGAGATTGGAGGGAGAAGGATGGAGCAGAGGGAAGAGATGATAGGATGGAAGAGGAGAGAGTAGCGGGAGAGAGAGAGCGAAGGTTGCGACGGCGCATTACCATCTGAGTAGGGGCAGAGTGAGTAGTGTTGGAGGAGAGCGAGAGAGAAAAGGATACAAAGTAGTGGTCGGAGACTTGGAGGGGAGTTGCAGTGAGATTAGTAGAAAAACAGCATCTAGTAAAGATGAGGTCAAGCGTATTGCCTGCCTTGTGAGTAGGGGGGGGGACGGTGAGAGGGTGAGGTCAAAAGAGGAGAGGAGTGGAAAGGAGGAGGAAGAGAGAAATGAGTCAAAGGTAGACGTAGGGAGGTTAAAGTCACCCAGAACTGTGAGGGGTGAGCCATCCTCAGGAAAGGAACTTATCAAGGCATCAAGCTCATTGATGAACTCTCCAAGAGAACCTAGAGGGCGATAAATTATAAGGATGTTAAGCTTGAATGGGCTAGTGACTGTGACAGCATGGAATTCAAATGAGGAGATAGAGAGAATGTCCTCTTGGGAGAGATGAGGATTCCTGTGCCACCACCCCGCTGACCAGATGCTCTCGGGGTATACGAGAACACATGGTCAGACGAGGAGAGAGCAGTAGGAGTAACAGTGTTTTCAGTGGTAATCCATGTTTCCGTCAGCGCCAAGAAGTCGAGGGACTGGAGGGTAGCATAGGCTGAGATGAACTCTGCCTTGTTGGCCACAGAACGGCAGTTCCAGAGGCTGCCGGAGACCTGGAACTCCACGTGGGTCGTGCGTGCAGGGACCACCAGGTTAGTGGCAGCAGCCACACGGTGTGAGGCGTTTGTGTAGCCTGTGCGGAGAGGAGAGAACAGGTATAGACAGACACATATTTGACAGGCTACAGAAAATGGCTACAATAATGCAAAGGAGATCGGAATGAAATGAACTAAACATCTGGGAAAGCGAGAGAGCGGGGCCTCCCTCACGTTTCACTGAAACACTCAAATATAATTCTCCCAACTTCCACTTTAGAAATTATAATTGTTGTAAACTACAGCGGTTCAATGTTTTCTAGGAATAGACTCTAACTTAGTTTATTCAGCTAGCTAACTTGGTACAGTATTCTTCCGTGAAAACCGTCCAGGGCACCGAATCCTATGACGCCATAGCCAACTAGCATGCACGCCTCCAATAACAAGGTTTAGCACCAATACTCGGTTACAACAAACCACCAGTGTGTTAACACGCCAAGCAGATCATTTGTGTCCGTGTGTAACGTTGTGTAAAGTTTTGGGTTAGTTTTGACAGTTTGAGTGAATCCGTCGTCAACTTATTCAGCCAGTTAGTTAGCTAGAATAGTTAACATACTAGCTAGCCATTGCTCTCAGCCTCCTTTCCTCATAAAGCAACAAGTCAACTTAAACCATTTCTTACAGGATCCATGCAGTCATCAATCGGCATTAGGCAAGACCTAGAGACACATCAACTCAGTTAAATAAACATTCCCATTATAAAACGAATTACTTTGGCTTTTCACAACAACTTTCTCCCTCTCTTCTAAGCACATGGTACAGTAAACATCCCATAACCCCCACAGCACTGCAGCACAATGTGTCTTGTTCATAGTTGAAGTACCGTAATTTTCGGACTATAAGCCGCGCCTTTTTTCCAATTTTTCGACCCCTGCGGCTTATATAACGGTGCGGCTAATCTATGGATTTTTACAGCTAACGGCCACTAGAAGACCTCCTAAATCTATGGATTTTACAGGTTACAGTCCACCAACTTTAACTCTATGGGCTCTATGACCGGTCCGCGCCCCCCACCTTTAAGCGGAGGGCTCCAGCAGGAAAAGCTGGAGGCCGGAAAAGAGTGAGACAGGTAGCGCAAAAGTAAAAGTGGAACCGAGAGTGGTACGAGAGACAGAACGAGAGCAAGACAGACAGACATTACGAGAGCGAGACAGTTTGTGCAAAGGAAGTTTTAATGTACAAACCCTCATTATGGAAAACAAACTTAGAAATGCATATGATGCAGCTTTTAAGTTAAAGGCAGTCAATCTGGCTGTAAAAGAAGGAAATAGAGCTGCAGCACGTAGCCTTGGCATCAATGAGTCAATGGTGAGACGTTGGAGACGCCAGCGGGTAGAACTGTCTCAATGCAAAAAGTCAAAAAAAGCTTTCAGAGGTAATAAAAGCAGATGGCCCGAACTTGAAGACTTTCTTGAAGATTGGGTGAACACACAGAGAGCAGACGGCCGCGGAGTTTCCACCGTGCAGATCCGACTGAAACCTGAAACAGTCGCCACCGAAATGAAAATGAAAATTTTAGAGGTGGACCATCCTGGTGTTTCAGATTTATGAGACGAAAGGGACTGTCCATCAGGGCGCGGATGACTGTGTGTCACCAAATCCCTCCCGACTACCAGGAAAAAATAACAAACTTCGGCGAATTCACACAAAGAATGATAGAGGAATATTCCATCGGACCGGACCAGATCATAAATATGGATGATGTGCCTTTGACGTTTGACCTGCCTCTCACTAGGACTGTTAACAAGAAAGGTGAATCGTCCATCACGTTGAGAACCACTGGCCACGAGAGAACGAATTTCACTTGTGTTCTTGGCTGCACAGCATCTGGATTAAAGCTTCCGCCAATGGTGATTTTTAAGCGGATTACAATGCCAAAAGAAAATATCCTGAACGGCATCTCCTTTAAAGTCAACAAGAAAGGGTGGATGATGGAAAGCATAATGAATGAGTGGCTGAATGAGTGCTACGTCAAGCGCCCTGGAGGATTCTTTCGCCCAAAAAAAGCTTTGCTCGTTTTGGACAGCATGAGGGCCCATATAACGGATTATGTGAAAGCAGCCATCAAGAGCACAAACTCCATTCCAGCTGTGATTCCTGGGGGCACAACGAAGCATCTGCAGCCACTCGACATCAGTGTCAATCGTGCGTTCAAAGTGGCACTACGCGTTCAGTGGGGGGCGTGGATGACTAGCGGCGATAAATCATTCACCAAAACTGGTCGCATGCGAAAAGCAACTTTCGGTCAAGTTTGCAAGTGGATCCTGATAGCGTGGAGGAGTGTCAAAACATCCACGATCATTAACGGGTTCCGAAAGGCTGGACTGCTGCGTGATGAAGAGGAGGACGCCGCCACAGCTGAGGCCCTTCAGAGGCTGTTCGATTCCGACAGTGACGAAGAGGAGTTCGTTGGTTTTGAGAGCGTCAACGAAGGAGAGAGGAGAGTGGCTGACGAAGCCACCCTGAGCCTGTTCGTTTCCGACACTGAAGATGAGGACTTTGGTGGTTTTAGTACGCAGGAAGAAGACGGAGATGAGGATTAATGACTTGACTTTTTTGGTTACAGCCGTGTACTGCACATAAGCCTAAAAGATGAAGACGAGGATTAATGACTTTTCTGGTAGGCTGATTACCGTATATTTTAAGCAGCCGTGTTGCTGCAACTTTAGGCTTACGCGCTTACTGTCGTGTTACAGGCACTTTATTTTGCACTTTAAAAAAAACATTTAATTTAGCCATTGATATTGCCTCGTCAAGCGCTGTAAGCTTTGTTTTTTGTTATGGTACTACTGTAGGCTATAATGTAGATAAATATTCAAAGATGTGCAAATTTTTTCAAGGTTTTTCAAAAATAACCAAAGTTAAGTGGTTAAATGATTGTGACGCTATTAACTAATTTTGCTGGAATACGTTATGCAAATATGCAACTTGTTTGTTGAAATGTTAATAAATGGGAGCTTCCTCAAGCAGCCATCTCTTTCCCGACAATCCCCTCTGTGCACGAACCCTTACATATGGTAATTAAACATTAAAACACCTGCGGCTTATAGTCCAGTGCAGCTTATATATGTACACATCATTCAATTTAGCTGCTGCGGCTTATACTCCGGTGCGCCTTATAGTGCGGAAAATACGGTATGTTGATCTTGACACTGACAAACTTCCAATATTTCTCTATTGCAGCATATTTGACTAGATCATTCTGTGCATTGCAGCAATATGCATGAGAGAGTGAGAGGAAGAGAGATAGACAGACCGAGACAGAGAGACCGAGAGATGAGTAAAGGGGAGTTGGAACATGTCTGGTCTGGAAGCAAAGGAGAGGAGAAAACATAGCTAATGTACTGCCAAATTTCCAACAGCTAGAAAATGGATCTGTAAGACATAAGCTGTCAAGCTGGCACGCTCCAGCCTAAATCACATCAACACTATTAATCAAGATGAAAGAACAGTATGAAACACCAATGTCCTGAGGGGATATTTCACTAGTGAGAAATAAGATGTCTCTGTCTGTCTTGCAGGCTGAAACACACAGGCATCAATCATAAAGATGCAGGGGTAGTGAAGACTTACGTAATCACGTAATGTTTGATACTCTGGTGAGATGACAGTTGACGTGAGTGATGAAAATGGAGTTTGAACAGAAGGGTCTTTATTGCTCACAGTTTTGTTCTGCCACACACTGTACATGAACATGGCTGCAGTTGTTTATATCCTTACCTTAAAAAATATCTAGAAATAAGGTAGTATGATGTCATGTCAAGATAGATCATTATTTTATAGGCCCATACTCAATTATTTTATGATTACATTTCACAAGGAATACTGACACTGTTTAGCTAGACCAAATACAGTAAAAAGGACAGAGAATCCTGTACTAATGTACTAACTTTGTGTCCCCTGAAGCAGAGCCAGAATTACACATTCCTAGCACTGTTTTGATTACATAATCATGCCAGACTGCCTAGACAGATAGACAGGACCTCTCCATCTGTGCAAATCTGTTATGATGTGGTGAGAGGATTAAGACATACTGAGAACCACTAGGCCATAGTGAACACCACTAGTAAAAAACACCACTAGGCCATAGTGTACACCACTAGTAAAAACACCACTAGGCCATAGTGAAGACCACTAGTAAAAAACACCACTAGGCCATAGTGAACACCACTAGTAAAAACACCACTAGGCCATAGTGTACACCACTAGTAAAAACACCACTACTGCAGCAGCAAGCACAAAAACAGGGTCATGTTCATTTCGTAATTTAAAAAAAATACATTTTACAACAGAAAACGAAAAAAAGCGTTAATTATTGGAAAAGTGCAGGTGGTCTCTCACTGTGCCAGTCCGTTTTCTTCCATTTGGTGCCTAATGACTACAACCCTGGTGTCTTTGCTGTGGCTTGGTTGGCATTAGTCAAGTGCATGGCTCTCCAATCCTGTTTCTGGAGAGCTAGCATCCTGTAGGTTTTTGTTCCAACCCTAACCTAGCGCACCGGATTCTAATAATTAGCTGGTTGATGGCTTGAAACGAAAACCTACAGGAGGGTAGCTCTCCAGGAACAGGGTTGGAGAGCCCTGGTTTAGTGTCTGATTAAAGGGAAAAGTTTAGAAAAAGTAATGCGATTCAATTTCACAGAAATGTTTTATTATTTCTGTATATTGTGATGTAGGCCTATGAAGTGCTTTGTTCCTTTTATGTACAGTGAGGGAAGAAAGTATTTGATCCCCTGCTGATTTTGTACGTTTGCCCACTGATAAAGAAATGATCAGTCTATAATTTTAATGGTAGGTTTATTTGAACAGTGAGAGACAGAATAACAACAAAATCCAGAAAAACACATGTCAAAAATGTTATAAATTGATTAGCATTTTAATGAGGGAAATAAGTATTTGACCCCCTCTCAATCAGAAAGATTTCTGGCTCCCAGGTGTCTTTTATACAAGTAACGAGCTGAGATTAAGAGCACACTCTTAAAGGGAGTGCTCCTAATCTCAGTTTGTTACCTGTATAAAAGACACCTGTCCACAGAAGCAATCAATCAATCAATTAGATTCCAAACTCTCCACCATGGCCAAGGCCAAAGAGCTCTCCAAGGATGTCAGGGACAAGATTGCAGACCTACACAAGGCTGGAATTGGCTACAAGACCATCGCCAAGCAGCTTGGTGAGACGGTGACAACAGTTGGTGCGATTATTCGCAAATGGAAGAAACACAAAATACCTGTCAATCTCCCTCGGCCTGGGGCTCCATGCAAGATCTCACCTCGTGGAGTTGCAATGATCATGAGAACGGTGAGGAATCAGCCCAGAACTACACGGGAGGATCTTGTCAATGATCTCAAGGCAGCTGGGACCATAGTCACCAAGAAAACAATTGGTAACACACTACGCCGTGAAGGACTGAAATCCTGCAGCGCCCGCAAGGTCCCCCTGCTCAAGAAAGCACATATACATGCCCGTCTAAAGTTTGCCAATGAACATCTGAATGATTCAGAGGAGAACTGGGTGAAAGTGTTGTGGTCAGATGAGACCAAAATTGAGCTTTTTGGCATCAACTCAACTTGCCGTCTTTGGAGGAGGAGGAATGCTGCCTATGACCCCAAGAACACAATCCCCACCGTCAAACATGGAGGTGGAAACATTATGCTTTGGAGGTGTTTTTCTGCTAACGGGACAGGACAACTTCACCGCATCAAAGGGACAATGGACGGGGCCATGTACCGTCAAATCTTGGGTGAGAACCTCCTTCCCACAGCCAGGGCATTGAAAATGGGTCGTGGGTGGGTATTCCAGCATGACAATGACCCAAAACACACGGCCAAGGCGACAAAGAAGTGGCTCAAGAAGAAGCACATTAAGGTCCTGGAGTGGCCTAGCCAGTCTCCAGACCTTAATCCCATAGAAAATCTATGGAGGGAGCTGAAGGTTCGAGTTCCAAACGTCAGCCTCGAAACCTTAATGACTTGGAGAAGATCTGCAAAGAGGAGTGGGGCAAAATCCCTCCTGAGATGTGTGCAAACCTGGTGGCCAACTACAAGAAACGTCTGACCTCTGTGATTGCCAACAAGGGTTTTGCCACCAAGTACTAAGTCATGTTTTGCAGAGGGGTCAAATACTTATTTCCCTCATTAAAATGCAAATCAATTAATAATTTTTGACATGCGTTTTTCTGGATTTTTTTGTTGTTATTCTGTCTCTCACTGTTCAAATAAACCTACCATTAAAATTATAGACTGATCATTTCTTTGTCAGTGGGCAAACGTACAAAATCAGCAGGGGATCAAATACTTTTTCCCCCTCACTGTATGTGCATTCCTACTATTCATTTCTGGAACAATGTCGTAGAAAACAATGAGGTACAGGCTGTTTCTTTGTGTAGAAAATGAAATATGGCTGACAAATAATATTTGGGTGCAATCCCGCCATTGCGAGAGTATTCAAATATCCCCTATTAATTTCCTATTGATCATTAACCAGACACAGTGTGGTGAAAAAGCAGATAAGACTTTTAACACAGATGGACTTTAAAACAACCACAGTCAAATTAAATGAGGTCATAGTTGGGCTGCGGCCAGACTTTCTTGAGAAGCGCTGCTCCAGAGTACAGCTAAGTTCAATAACAACAAATAGTAATAAAACAACCAGAATGCAATGGGGCGGTGTATGATTCATAGTCTGACCACTGGATCAACTTTTATTTATATAATAAACATTGTGCTATGAGAAAAAGATGACTGAAAATAGCCAGGAGTTTGAATTGTAAACATCAATATCCCTTGAAATAATAAAAAAAAAAAATATATATATATATATATTTATTTAAATTCTATTAAAACCAGGACAATCTGGAGATTCCCCTGCTGATTACAGACCCATTAGTTTAATAAATTGTGACAATAAAATAATAATAAAGCTCATAAGCAATAGAACAGCAAAAGTCTTACCATACTTGACACATATTAATCAAACAGGGTTTATGAAAATTGTACACTTACAAATACAAGAACATGTTTCAGTTAAATACAATATACAAAAAAACAAGATATAGATTAATCAATAATGGCTGTTGATGCCGAAAAGGCTTTCAACCATCTTGAATGGCCTGTTCTATTCAAAACTTTGGACGCGTTCAACTTTCTGGCTGAAATAATAAATTTAATAAAAATATTATATAAAATGTCCTAAAGCTAAAATATACACAAATAATACATTATCTGATGAAAAACTCAATGTCCCCCTTGCTAAAAATATTTTCAGAATACTCTAAAATCTCAGGATATAAAATGAATGTGGGAAAAACAAAATGGCAATAGGAAAAATACAAATAACTCATGACCTACAGCAATCCTTTAAGTGGAACACAAAACATATCAAATACTTAGGATGCTTAATAAATGACAACAAACAACAAATATTTAAAGATAACTTTATCCCATTACTCAACAATATGAAAGCAGATCTAATTAAATGGAACAATCTTCCGATAAATCTTACAGATAGAATAAACCTCTTCAGAATGGCATGGCCCTTAAAATTTTTATATTTATTATTCATAATACCAAATCAACCCACCGAAAACATTATTTAAAAAATGTATACTCGGTCATAAGACTTTATATTGTCAAATAAAACTCATAGAATAAAATGGAACGTTTTTCGTCTTCCTAAGTCTGAGAGGGGTTTTCACCTTCCAGACTTGGAATTGTATCAACTCGCCACCAAAGGCTTTTACTTGAGACATATAGTTAAATGCACTAAAGAGGAACAATGGGTACATATTGAAGATGCGCATGGTCAAATAGCCACACTTTGCCTTGATGACAGCTTTGCACACTCTTGGCATTCTCTCAACCAGCTTCATGAGGTAGTCACCTGGAATGCATTTCAATTAACAGGTGTGCCTTCTTAAAAAGTTAATTTGTGGAATTTCTTTCCTTCTGAATGCGTTTAAGCCAATCAGTTGTGTTGTGACAAGGTAGAAGACAGCCCTATTAGGTAAAATACCAAGTCCGTATTATGGCAAGAACAACTCAAATAAGCAAAGAGAAACGACAGTCAATCATTACTTTAAGACATGAAGGTCAGTCAATCCAGAAAATGTTAAGATCTTTGAACGTTTCTTCAAGTGCAGTCGCAAAAACCATTAAGCACTATGATGAAACTGGCTCTCATGAGGACCACCACAGGAATGGAAGACCCAGATTTAACTCTGCTGCTGAGGATAAGTTCATTAGTTACCAGCCTCAGAAATTGCAGCCCAAATAAATGCTTCAGAGTTCAAGTAACAGAAACATCTCAACATCAACTGTTCAGAGGGGACTGTGAATCAGGCCTTCATGGTCGAATTGCTGCAAAGAAACCACTACTAAAGTACACCAATAAGAAGAGACCTGCTTGGGCCAAGAAACATGAGCAATGGACATTAGACCGGTGGAAATGTGTTGTTTGGTCTGGAGTCCAAATTGGAGATTTTTGGTTCCAACCACCGTGTCTTTGTGAGACGCGGTGTGGGTGAACGGATGATCTCCGCCGTAAAGCATGGAGGAGGTGGTGTTATGGTGTGGGGGTGCTTTGCTGGTGACACGGTTGGTGATTTATTTAGAATTCAAGGCACACTTAACCAGCATGGCTACCACAGCATTCTACAGCGATACGCCTTCCCATCTGGTTTGGGCTTAGTGGGACTATCACTTGTTTTTCAACAAGACAATGACCCAACACACCTCCAGGCTGTGTAAGGGATATTTGACCAAGAAGGAGAGTATTGGAGTGCTGCATCAGATGACCTGGCCTCCACAATCACCCAACCTCAACCCAATTGAGATGTTTTGGGATGAGTCGGACCGCAGAGTGAAGGAAAAGCAGCCAACAAGTGCTCAGCATGTGGGAACTCCTTCAAGACTGTTGGAAAAGCATTCCAGTTGAAGCTGGTTGAGAGAATGCCAAGGAGTCGCTAGAGCGCGATGGGACAAGGACATCCCGGCCGGCCAAACCGTCCCCTAACCCGGACGACGCTGGGCCAATTGTGCACCACCTCATGGGTCTCCCAGTCTGCGACAACCTGGGATCGTACCCAGGTCTGTAGTGACGTCTCTAGCACTGCGATGCAGTGCCTTAAACCGCAGCACCACTCGGGAGGCCCATCCCCAAAATCTTTTCACGTGTCTATTTTCAAAGGACAAAGTTAAGAATATTAACAACTTCATAGTTAAGAACACTAACAATATGGAAGAAAATGAAACGTATTCTACAAGAACCAATATCACTCCCTAAAAACACAACCCTATGGAACAATCCTGGGATAACTGTTCAGAATCCACCGATAAATTGGCCCACATGGAAAACTAAAAAGGCATAGAAACCGTCGGTCTGCATATTTCAAGACATGGCATATGAGGGTGTAGTGAGATACCCGATGGGTTCGTCGATACTTTTCTCATCAATAATCTTGAAGAAATGTATACTTAAAAACTGGAAATCAACCAATCCTCCATCTTTAACACAATAGAAAGGTCAAATGCTTTATTATCTAAATGTTGAATGTGCATGGGGGCGATGGAGAGAAACAAAAATGGTGCAGGCAGTGATGTGGGCGCTGGAGATAGGGGCGTGAGCAAGTGGGTCTAGGCAGGTGTTATGTCGTGGTTTGTTTGTGTTTGTAATGTAGAAATATAACCTTACCAAAAAAAAGAAAACAGAAATTAATTCCCCACACTCATGTCTATGAAGAACTTCATAAAGAATGTCATTTTAACATTATCCAATAAATTATCCAGAGCATGCTTTTGCAGGTTGCACTGACTCAAAAGACCGAAGAGAAATGTTGTCTCAAGGATCAATCAACTAACCAATCTCCAGTCTATTATGTCAAACAGCAATACTACTACAACAACATTCTGGTAGGTGATTCAAATATTATGTTTACAGTAAATTGCATTCATGTCACTAATAGTCTAATTCTAATCTCAAATTTTTACTCCAACACAAAAAACTTCAAAAGCCCACTCTAAAAACAATGCATTTTAACCAAAACAAAGCACCTTTTAGAATGAACTGCTGCAATGGAAAACAATAACTAGTTTTTTTATTGGACAAGTCCAGGTTGTCCCTCCCCATTTCAGACAGATTCCTTCCGTTTGGTGCATAATGAACACAACCCGGTGCTTTCCTGTCCCAGCCTACCAGGAAGCATATAAGCAGGACTATTTGATAGCCCAGGTGTTCAAGGGAAATCAACAGAGATGAATGACAGTAATGTAATGGGGTTCTGTGTTGTGTAATTTAGGAGACACAGATTATTACTCAGTCTCAGCACTGCAGTGACCTCTAAGCAGTTAAGGGATAAAATGCTCTAAATTCTTACAACAATCACTGGTAAAACCCTGTCACCCTCCAGGGTTATGACAACTGTCAACAATCTGCCTGTCTGTCTTGTTCAGTAATAGACAAATCTGTTATTGAGGAACAGACTAGGGAGTAGGTACAAGTTAACCCTAACCTCTGGTCTGGGGTCAAATATTTCCAAGCTCAGGCTGACCCTCAAATGTTGGTCTGTATCTCAGCTCAAGAGAGGAACCAGGACCAAACAGCTACAAATCCAGAAAGGAAAGCAGTCAAACGCTTTCCATCTGCACATGTCAGAAAAGTCATGTCAGTTCTGTGTCAAGGTGGTAGTTATAGTTAAATCATCTAATGACTGACAATCAAAACAGACATGCAGACCTGTTATTTACAGGGGGTTACATACTGTATCTCAAAGACACAAAACTGTTACAGGAAGTCAACATAGTTTTTTTTTTTGTATTAAAATAGATGTTCGTGCCAACCCTGGTCAGTATTCCCAGAAGCATTTGTATTCAAAACTCCTCAAAAAACAAGTGGGATTTGGACACATACTAGATGGTTGACGTCTGTACGACCCTTGACCTGTCATTCCTTTCCGCCTGCATCCGAGTGCAGCTCGCTGCTCTGAGCCACGCATCACCCAACATCGTTCACAATCTCCTCTCCTCCCACCCCCCTCCATATTCAGTGGACAGTACCAACAGTCTTTTGTAGCCAAAGCAAAAAGCACAGAGACACTGCTTCTTTCATGAGCAAGAAGAGTGAGTGAACTGCTTGAGGAGGAGGTAAGCTCTGTTGACTAACTGTAGATGAGGTCACTAGAACCTAACAGCCTATATGGCCAGAAGTGTATTGTCTGCCTATGACAGTGGGTGGATCGCATTACACATTTAGCCGACCACCTCTCAGATGAGGTAAGGGTCACCATATAGCCATTTGCTGAAGAAGGAAGCACCAACTGATAAAAAGTGCATATTCCTGCCCGAGTAGTGGATAACACCGCCACAACTCTAGTTCAGTGTCCCCCACCGAAGACCAGGGATCACCTCCCAGTCCAGGCTCTCATTTCTGTACTGTATGTCTTGCAGGGCTGGGAATTGCCAGGGACCTCACAATACGATATTATTACCATACTTAGGTGCCAATAAGATATGTACTGCGATTCTCACGATTCTATACAGTGCATTGGGAAAGTATTCAGACCCCTTCACTTTTTGCACATTTAGTTACGTTACAGACTTATTCTAAAATGGGTTCAATTGTGTGTAGATTGATGAAGGGGGGAAAAAAACAATACCCCATAATGACAAAGTAAAAACAGATTGACATTTCTGCACATTCATAAAAATAGTAAAAAGTATCACATTTACATAAGTATTCAGACCCTTTACTCAGTACTTTGTTGAAGCACCTTTGGCAGCGATTACAGCCTCGAGTCTTCTTGCGTATGACGCTACAAGCCACTCCTGCGTTGTCTTGGCAGTGTGCTTAGGGTCGTTGTCCTGTTGGAACGTGAACCTTCATCCCAGTCTGAGGTCCTGAGCGCTCTGGAGCAGGTTTTCATCAAGGATCTCTCTCTACTTAGCACCTTTCATCTTTCCCTTCGAGCCTGACTAGTCTCCCAGTCCCTTTTACTGAGGAGTGGCTTCTGTCTGGCCCCTCTACCATAAAGGCCTGATTGGTGGAGTGCTGCAGAGATGGTTTCCCTTCTGGAACGTTCTCCAATCTCCACAGAGGAACTCTGGAGCTCTGTCAGAGTGACCATCTGGTTCTTGGTCACCTCCCTGACCAAGGCCCTTCTCCCCCGATTGCTCAGCTCTAGGAAGAGTCTTGGTAGTTCCAAACTACTTCTATTTAAGAATGATGGAGGCCACTGTGTTCTTGGGGACCTTCAATGCTGCAGAAATGTTTTGGTACCATTCCCTAGATCTGTGCATCGACACAATCCTGTCTCGGAGCTCTACGGACAATTCCTTTGACCTCATGGCATGGTTTTTGCTCTGGACTGTCAACTGTAGGACCTTATATAGACAGGTGTGTGACTTTCCAAATCATGTCCAATCAATTTAATTTACCACAGGTGGACTCCAATCTAGTAGTAGAAACATCTCAAGGATGATCAATGGAAACAGGATGCACCTGAGCTCAATTTCGAGTCTCATAGCAAAGGGTCTGAATACTTATGTAAATAAAGTATTTCTGTTTTTGCAAAAATTTCTAAAAACCTGTTTTCACTTGGTCATAATGGGATATTGTGTGTAGATTGATGAGGAAAACAATTAATCAATTTTAGAATAAGGCTGTAACATAACAAAATGTGGAAAAAGTAAAAGGGTCTGAAACTTTCCGAATGCACTGTATATATATATATTACGTTTCGTTTTCCCAAACATATTGCTCACCATATGTCTGCTGCGGAGAGACCAGAGCCATGAGAAAATAAGCTTTGATCGGTTATGGAAATAATAGTGCTGAAAACAAATTGGCTCCCTATATATAAAAGAACATTGAAAACAAGCTATGAAGGAAAAATACTTACGTTTTGGTGCAGGAACAGCAAACAAGCACAAAAATATTGCAATATTGTCAAAATGATAAATCGTCAAAATAGCCCGATATTTAACTACCGATTTCTTCCCCATCACTCAATCTCCTCCCTACTGTCTCCCCCATATTTCTCAATAAAACAAAACGATTCCTAAATTGAATAATAATAATAATAATAATTGAATATTCATTCATTAACACTATTTAGAATTGTAAACACAGTAGCATTCCTTAGGATTCTGTTCAGAGGTTTGCGGTACATCTACTAGATGCGAAACAGATGGAAGTTTTGGTCCAACACGAGAAACGCTGTCATCTGCTGCAGCAATCATTTGCATATAACATTCTAGACCTCACCGTTGTCAAATCAAGACATCATGAGTGAGTATGCAGATTAGCTGTTGAAAGCCCTCACAGTAAATGGCTTGTCTCAAGCCCAGACAGAAATAAATATCAAGAGCAGAGAACATTAGAGCGCCAAGACATACCTCAACAAGGGTTGGGGTCAACTGAAGAGAACGGGGATAAGAAAAAGAGCGAGGGAGAGAGTAAGAAAGGAGGAGAGAGAGAGGCCAAGACCGAGTCAACAAATAATAACATTAAAATAAAAAAAACAGAAGGAGAGTGATTTGAACGACGTGACATAAGACAGGCAGACATGCAGTACAGAAGGGGTTGGCTGAGAGTATTGTTGTTAACAGAGTCATCTTGCCCTAGCAGGAGAGGAAACAGTTAACCACTCTAAAAAGGGGATCAGAGTAGCAGTGCTGCACATGGCAGAACAAACACAGTGGAGCCAGCCCAGTACTTCAAACGTTGACCTTGACCACCTGAGCCTACAGAGAGAGACCGCATGCACAGCACTCTTCAGACGGGTGTCCTTGTGTTTGCCCGTTCAGATATTTGTTATAACACTTCTCTCTGTAACTACAGATCCAGGAGGCCAGAGACTGAACACACAGAGGATGGAGATATAAAATAAACAGAGACAGAACTAAAAGCAGTGAGGAGCAATATTTAAACAGACAAAAAAAGGGACAGTCTGTGCAGCTACCATATCCTCAAAGTCCCACTCCCCCGCCTATCAGCAGTAACTGTCTGCACTGAACATTTGCTCAGCTTGCTTGAGTAAATTATCTACTCTCATAGAAAAATAATATACTTTAAAGTACTGTGCTTTTTTGCCTTACAAGAGTGCCTTGACCATCTGGTGAAGAAAAGACTGTTTGTTTAAAGTACTTTACTCATGATATGTCTCAGTGAATGAACCCCACTCCACAGCACTGACCACTGAACAGCAAAGAGGCTTGCTATAGCCCATCTACAGACAGAACCAATGCCATTTAGAGCAAACATCACTGCAAAACAATATCTAACACAAAGTCACCTACCATTATCGATAGCAGCCCTTTTTTCACATCAAGTATTGGCGAAGTCGCTTCAGAATTCATCAGGCACTCCGATGTGGCTGACAAAGCTCACTTCTCTCAAAATGTTGCCATTATCTAGGCTACTGCAACTTCTACACAACCAATCTGACCGCGAGACAAGGCATCCTTCATTTTCACATGGAAAAATATTCTGCTGCACAAAGCGCCAAAAAGTGGATGTATTTACACCCTGGGATATTACATATTATTTGTCATAGAGGAGCTATAATTCAGTTTCTTTGTAGTCTTTGCTTGTCAGGAAGAGGTTTTGTTTGTTATTGTTTTGAAATGGATAAAAGGGACCAGTTCCAAGTGGGTATAAATTTTGTTGTAGACACAGTGAATCCCCTTGAATTAGGCTGCCTGTGTAAACGCTGCCTATGTGGCCCATGCGGGAATCAAACCCACCACAACCCTCGGGTGTATTCATTAGTCACAGACCTTTGCAAAACATTTGGTCTGTTGCGAAACGTGTTACAACAGAAACTGTTTACATACCTGAATTTGTCCAATAGAAACGTTCATTTTCGTTGCAAAACGTTTTCCGTTTGGAGTAAAGATTTGCAACAGACAAAACATTTTGCCACGGAATCCGACTAATACACCCCTGGTGTTCCCAGCATGCTCAAACACACAGCCATTCAAACCACATTCTATCCTTTCATCAATCCTATCAGACTTAGATTTTACAAGTGGTCAAAATTAAGCGATCGTCCTCATGTGCATAATAACACATTGAATGATGAACAAGAGAACAGAACAAAGCTGCCTATGACATTTCACTAGCAGAATCTGTACTAAAGTTCATGACAGCCAGTGAGAGTAGTTTCAGCCAAACACCAACGGGTGTATTTTTATTCTCTCAGACACATGGCTCTTGACTACACAATTGGCTTGAACCAAGTGGACATATTTTCTATAGCCAGGGCATCCTCCATTTAAGATTGACAACACCCAGGGGGATAATACGGCCAGAATACCCCTCCAACCCCAGCCCAACTCCGCTAGAAGATGAATACTCCCAAAAATCTAGGCAAAAGGGCACAAACGGTTGGCTGAAGAGCAACATTTCCTGCCATTCAGCAATGTTTTCCAGCCAGTAGGCTAAACCACTTCAGAAATAGCTTTGTAAATGTGTATTAATTCCATAACTATCATTAAAAACAAAAAGGAACTGGGCCTAATGGCATATAAAGACAACATATCTCCTTTTCCCATTGAAACCCTCAATGACGATCACTGAAGGCCCTCTTCAAATCAAAATTATTAACACGATTTTTCCGGACTAAGACAACACTCTCCTTGCTCTGCACTTGGGTACTTTGTTGGTTTGCCTTTGCTTTGGTTACTTGTTTTGGTTGAGTGGACCCTTGGGACTCTATGAAAACTTGGCATTTCAACCACTCAATATCCCAAGAGTATGCCAGTCAGTACACCAGTGATGAGACAGATTTTCCACTCCGTGCCCCATGTAATCCCAGAGTGTGGCCAGATCACCAATAAAATCATCAGGGCCACTGTGTGCTTCCCATATGGCACGCTATTCCATTGGGCTCTGATCAAAAGTAGTGCACTATAAAAGGGGTTAGGGAGCCATTTGGGATACAGTCACTGACATCTCCCTTTAACCAGAGTCCTCCATTAGAGCTGTGATTTCCATGACTCCGGGAGGTGCCAACTTCAGCAACTCTGAGTGTGTCCCCTTCTCACATTCCCCTGGCTGGGCCATCCTTCATCTGATACTGCACAGGAGGAGCTCTGAGTGCCACACACACAGACAGGCAGGCAGGCATATACAAACATACATATTGCTGACACGCAGGAATAAACACACACACGTACCTATAGCTGTTCTGAGGCCAGTCAGAGAGTTGGTCAGCCTGAGGAGCTGCCAGCCAGGTCTACTGCTGCCCCAACCCCCAGAATAGCCCCAGACTAACAGGCCAGGGCAGGGAAGCTGTAACATCAGAGAGCACACAGCACAGGCCACCACTGGTTGGCCATGACATGACTCTCTCTAACCCACAGTCTAACCACTGGCTAGCCACAAACTTACATGGTTTCCTGAAACCACTGCAAGATAGCCATAACCCAACCCACAGTACTCTTAACAAGCAACAGACAAACCACCTGTTGGCGTTAGCCCACAGACTGTAGAAAAGAATGTAGCCGCACTTGCTTGCTTCGATATGATTGATTTATTGGAAGTCACCAGCTTTAGCCTACAGTCACTTAGGTTCCGACAGCCTGCACCTTGGAAATTCAGATGGCACTTAGGTTCCCCCTAAACCAATCCTGACCAGCCTATAACCCTAGCCAACTGTTCCCCTACACAGCACAGTCAACACACCCAGGCCAAACCTAATCCACAATATGTTTTTTGTTTTATTTTTATTGTCACAAACCGGATAGGTGCAGTGAAATGTGTTGTTTTACAGGGTCAGCCATAGTAGTACGGCGCCCCTGGAGAAAATGGGGGTTAAGTGCCTTGCTCAAGGGCACATCGACTAGTTTTCACCTTGTCAGCTCGAGTATCTGAACCAGCGACCTTTCAGTTACTGGCCCAAAGCTCTAACCGCTAGGCTACCTGCCGCCCGCAATTCACCTACAGCACAGTGACACGAGCGGGAAAGTTTTATCAACAATATCATCTCTCTCCCTGAAGTAATGAAGCGATTTGCTGTTTTGAAATCAGACTTGTTATCACATTATCAGATAAAGCACGAGACATTCTTGTTCATTGAGCTGAAGTTATTGTAGCACTTTACGCTCTGAGAGCATTGTTACTTCCTCCGCTCAAAATACAATTTATACTTACTCTCCCACAGCTTTTCATTTTGCCGCTCCCTCGCTTTATTAGTTGGATTATGTCAAAGTACTTAACTCATATCAATAGTCACTCCACAAAGAGTCATTTCACACATGGAACACAGAAGAACACAGTAATTATCCTGCACAGCATATAAAAAGGGCAGTGAACACAGTAAATGCTTGGGACAATACTAACAACTATCACTTCACCTCTGCTGTAAAACTAAATCCCAAGTTGCATGTAACAAAGGAAACAAGGTGGCAGCCTCATCCAACATTCCTAGTGAAGTTTTCAGTAAGACTTAGGACTTTAATAACACTCCCTGTGGCACAGGGTCTAAGACACAGACATACAGACAAGATGGACGGACACTCAGACAGACAGATACACACACCAAGTTATGGTTCCTCACAGTAGGAACATGCCATGAATCAACCCACCAGTACAATGGCTGACATTTGGCTTGAACAGAGGACAAGGAAGATAAATGGTTGACTAGCATTGCTGTGACTGCAGGCTCATGCGTTTTATTCACCTTCACACAAAGCAAGCTAATAAACGCCTCCTTACCATCCCAGACTTGTATTGGGCAGTAAAGGCACAATGTCAAACTGCTCACTGCACTGAACTGCTCTCCATCATTATTATTATTATTTTTAGGGGGTGCTTATATTTGTCCTGTTACACACAAGTGTGTAATGGAAATACATTTTGTCTATCCCAACTCCCAGAGAGTGGGGTTAAGTGCCTTGCTCAAGTGCACAGCAACAGATTTTTCACCTTGTCGTCTCTGGTATTCAAACCAGCGACCTTTCGGTTACTGGACCAACGCTCTAACCTCGAGGCAACCTGCCGCCTTAGGCCTTTGATTACTGAAAAGTCACCACGTTTAAGACCTTCCTAAAATATAACTTGTCTTATGGAGAGTGTCGCCCCTCAAATTCATACGTGACACGGAACTGCATAGATCAACACACCTGTCATATGCCATGGGAGAATCTCCTGGAGAATTCCCTGGAGTCTATAAGGTCCCTGTAGTAGGGACTATAACAAGGGGGTGAGGTTCTGGGAATGATGGGTGTTTACCATGGTGTTGTATTACAGCCATGTGTAGCCCCCATCCTCAGGACTTCAAAAGGCTTTTCTCTCTGCCATACATACGTACAAAATATAGAGCCATGTGTTTGGCTGCATGGCAACCAGCACAAAATATAGAGCCATGTGTTTGGCTGCATGGCAACCAGCACAAAATATAGAGCCATGTGTT